AATAGAAAGTGTACAGCGTGCTACTACTTACTAACCTTGGTTTGCACAGAATGTATCGCATAGATGCTCGTACAACCAGCATCTTAACTTCTTCACTATGCACACCCTGTTTGAACATCGCCGCCTGCATGATTTGGTATTCCTCCATAAGATTACGCGTCATGACGCGGACTGTCCTGAGCTTTTGAGTGAAATTAATTATGTAGTTCCTCACAGTATCCCTAGGTATCCCATCAATAAGTATATATATCGTCATAGCCGTAGAATACTGACAGATCTATATATGTAATCTTTGTCAGATCCGTCAGTATTCTACGACTATGACGATATATGTATATGTGTATTTGTACGATTAAATATATTGTAATTAATTTAATTTTGTCTGTTTAAAAATTGTCACAATATATGTACACCGCTCTACCCGCTGACATTGATGCTCCTTTCCACTTTGGGTTCGCTGGAAGAAAACTCTATTAGAGTTACGCTCGCCTTTGTACATCTGATTACCTCCGTCATATTCTTATAACTGGTGTGTACAATAAAAAATTAAATAAATAGATAAAAATATTTTATGTGCCACTGTGCAAAACTAATTTAGGATTGAGTGCTCCGCTTGCAAGAATATGCAGTAACTGTAATCATATATGCGGTCTAGATCCGGATATAGACGTAAGCCGTCATGGCTTCATCGTTGGCAGTGTTTCGTGGTAAGGCACTGAACACCATGTAGATTTGATGGTATTGCCCAGTCTTGCTTTATATTTGTATTGAATTTTGTAACGAAAAATACGTAATTATAAATTTAATTTATTATATTAATTATATTATGACATTTATACGCATGTAATCTGTAGTCAATGTTGTGTACGCCTGCTATACATATGCGTGTCAGCGTGCTACATTAAAAATGTTATTAAATTTATGTATAATATGTATACTGTTGGTGCGCCTAACTCGAAATATATAAATAAAATAAAGCCATAAGTTTTAGCAATTTATTTCTAAATGAATACAAAGATGAATTAAAATTCCTATTTGGAACTGAATAATTTCAGATATTTATTAATTTAAATAGCAATGCTGCCAATTACAAGATAAGATAAAAAGAAACAATCTCAGTTATGTAAGTTCTTGGAATAAAAAGCCTGTCTACTTAAATTATACAAATGGAATATCCGTTGCCAGAACAGGTAAAAATTTGGTCAGCTATATATTAGCAGTTGGGCGTGGGAGGAGGGATTGTTAGTAATGCGGACTACTACTCCCATTGCTAGCAATATATCGTGTTAAGTCGACCTCCACGTGGCCCTCCCTGAATGGTGGTTGCCATTATATATATGTATATGTATGTATTTGTATATGTATGTAGATGTATATGTATATATATATATATATATATATATATATATATATATATATATATATATATATATGTATATATATATATATAATATATATTTTCGGCTTTTTATTTTTTATACATACACGTGTTATTCCAAACGGCTGCCATTTTCAATACATTTAAAAACAAAAACCTATTTTATGTTTCTTTTCAGATATAAATGAAAGTAATCATTAAAGATAAGCATCGGACGTCAAGATACATTGTATTCGTAAGTATATAGAACACTGATAAGAAAAAACAAGTCATCTAATTTGACAATTAGCTGACAAAAAGTTGACCCGTTTTTGAGGCTCGATTCTCTATCTATATAATCTAAGGAGCCAAGTAGGTAGTTTTTTTACACCCACAACACTAACGGCATTGCAGGTGTGCTGTCGGCCTTTTAAAAAGGAATATGCTCATTTCTTGAAGGTTATGTTGTCGTATCGGTTTGGAAATACTGCTGCTGGAAGTTGATTCCAAAGAGTGGTTGTGCGTGAAAGAAAGTGCCTTGAAAAACGCACGGTAGAGGACCGTCACTCAACCAGATGGTTGGGATGAAATTTTAGTTTATGGTGGGTTGTACGATGGTGAAAATCGGCAGCAGGTATCAATCCGAATGAGTCCTACTTTATGCGACGGCAACTTCGAAGGTGTGAAGCGTAACCATGGTAGCCAACTCATCAGGTAAATCAATAAGTTGCAGCGGCACATAAAAGGCTGTGAAATAGAGCCTTCCCAATGGGAGCAACAAGCTAATAATCAGAACGGATCAGAATCTCCATTCTATGGAGAGCTCTAACAAAATCAAAAATTAATAATTTTGAAATATCACATCTTTCTCAACTGGATGAAAAGAGAAACAAAATAAATCGACCTCGACTCGACCACCAGCACCAATATATTGTCATTACAACAGCAATGGTGTACTTGCATGGCCGTTATGTGCAAGAACTTTATTAAAAAGATTTGCTGTGTATACCACATTCTTGTATTTTTTATGCGACTTAGAATGGCAAACAAGCTGATCAAGAAAATGGTAACTATCGTCTATAAACATGAGCAGTACCATGAACATAACAGAGTATACTGTTTCGCCCATGACACCCCCCATGCGTTGCCATTCCTGAGGACTCAAATGTTATTCCTCTGTCCATAGGTATTACAGTATTTTATCGTCCATGAATCTGATTATATCTTTAGGCAACGGTTACTGCTTTCCATCAGGTGGGGCATATTTATAATATGTAGTGTGATATATCCTTTTATTTCGTAAATATAATTATTATTTTAATAAAATGCAATTTCACATGACAGAGTATATATTTAAATCTAAGACAGTAAAAATGTCAGAGGTTAATATGTTTTTTAAAAAGAGTATACGATGAGGTTGTAACATTATGTATGTATGAATATGATTTATATACAATGTTTGTCTGTCTCTACAATGTTTCTTAATCATAAAGTAGTCGTCTCGGAGGGCGTCTGGTACGTACACTACGACGCAATGGTACGGCTATTTCCTCGGCCGTAGAATATGCCTCTTTAGTAAGTGGTATTGATGTCAATTGTTGCCGTTCTTGTGGTAGCTCACAGGGTGATGTTTGTAACGGTGTAATTGGAGCATTTGCTTGAGTTTGCTCTGGAGAAGGTTCCTGAATTTCTGATGTTGGGGCCTGTAATGGAGTCATACTCGCTTGTGAAAAAAAAAAAAAACTTATATGGTTCTTTAACCATATATTTTGAAGTACTTTCAGCTTCATCAATTGCTCGAGAACGTATATGATCTGCATGTTTCGTTTTTCCACACCATCAGGTGTTTGAACTAGGTACGAATAACGGTGAGTACGTAATGTTACAGTAGCAGGATGCCAAGTTGATTCATTTCGCGTGCGTATATAAAAAAATGGGTCACCACTAAATTCTTTTAAAGGCTGATCTCCATGTAAGTTAGTTTGAAGTTGTTTGAAATTTAGTGTTTTTCTTAAATCTGGGCGTAGATTGTCAAATACACAATTTAGTTGATGGCCAAACATTATTTATGCTAATATATATATGTAGAATGTGGTGTATTACGATAACTGAACAGAAATTTCTTAAGCGTTGTTTCAAGTTAGCTCCGTCTTCGTTACTAGCTGATAACCTTTCTTGAAAGTGCGAAGCAAGGCGTTCTGCTAATCCGTTGGAGCGAGGATGGTACGGTGATACCCGAATATGTAAGATTCCATACTGCTTGCAATAACAAACTCATGCGACGTAAATTGTGGACCATTATCAGATACAATAATCTTGGGTAGACCGAAAGTAGTAAATATTCCATCCAGTTTAGCACATAGTTTTACTGTAGTAGTTTTAGTCATTGGTCGTACTTCAATCCATTTTGATAAAGCATCAACAACTACTACCCAATACTTTCCTTCGAAAGGACCTGCGAAATCAATATGAATTCTTTCCCAATTTTTTTAATAGACCAAGAGTAAATAGGGAGTTCTGGATCATTCGGCCTGTTTTCTTGACATTTATGGCAAAGTTTAATATATCTATCTATATCTTCGTCTATGGAGGGCCACCAGACATAAAATATAGCCAGAGCTCGCATAGCAGATGTGCCTGGATGGCCGCGGTGGAGGTAGTGTAATACAGCTTTTTGTATCCCTTGTGGAATTACAATTCTTCCGCCCCACATTATAATTTTATTCTCGATGGCAAGTTCTTCACGTTTTTGATAGTAAGGTTTTAGGTGACTATTACATTGATTCTTCCAGCCAAGTTTAATATGATTGGATACTTCCCTTAGGACGGGATCTTTTCCTGTTTCTTCTTTAATCAGTTTCTCTGAAAGTGTTAAATCAATCATTTTTATCGCTTGCAATCGCGTAACTATTTTATGTACAGTGTTCACCTTCAGACGGTATTTCTCAGGGTTTGGCATTCTTGACAAAAAGTCTGCAAGAATATTGTGTTCTCCCTTTCGATACTCAATGTGATAATTATAACACCCAATTGCTAACGCCCATCTCACCAATCTGTTATTAACAAGTTTAGGCAGATTTCTTTGTGGGCCTAAAAGGTAGATTAAAGGTTTGTGATCAGTAATTAATGTAAAACGGACTCCTCTTAAGAACTGATCAAATTTTTTGATACCAAAGTAGAGAGCTAATGCTTCTCGGTCTATTACAGAGTATTTACTTTCTGCAGGTTTTAATTTCCTAGAAGCATATGCGACCGGTTGTTCAATATTGTGTTCTTTGTGGAAAAGAACAGAGTGAAGTCCTTTTTCGGAAGCATTACAATAGATAAAGCATTCGTTTATCATCATAAGCTATCAGAGGTCTTGTTTTTGTTATGCAGGTTTTTACCTTTTCAAATGCGGTTTGTAATTCTTTCGTCCATTTCCATTTTTTTCGTGAAGATGTTAACTCGTGCATCTAACAAAGTGTATGTAAGTGCGGAATGAATCGCTCGTAAAAGTTGACCATTCCTAAAAAGATCGTAGTTCTTTAGTATTGTTTGGCGCTGGAGCTTTAGCGATTGCATCAATTTTTGTTTTAGTTGGGCGTACACCACGTGCGTCAATTATGTGTCCAAGATATTCAATTTCGGGTTGGAGAAAACTTCATTTTTTTAAGTTAACTTTGAGGCCAAATTCTAACAATGTCTTGAAGACTGACGTCAGAGTACTTAGGTGTTCGCTGTCATTTTTCCATGTTACTGCAATATCATCGAAGTAGACGGCCGTATTCGGGATGTTGTCTAGTAGTTTTTCTAAATAATGTTGAAAAATTGATGGTGCTGTTGCAATACCGAAGGGCATTCGATTGTATTGGAAATATCCTTTATGTGTTGTTATTGTAAGATACTTTTTTGATTCAGGGGCAATTTCAAATTGAAGATATGCATCCTTTAAGTCAATTTTGGAAAATTTTTCACCATTTGCAAGCTGTTGTCTTAATTGGTCAAAAAGTGGTACTGGATGTAGGTGTGTTATTAATGCAGGGTTGATTGTGACGCGATAATCACCGCAAATACGAATTTGACCATTAGGTTTTACGACATTAACTGTTGGAGTTGACCATTCTACGGGTGTTATGTTAGGATCCACTTTTGTGATAATCCCTTCTTGCACTAATCGATCTAGTTCCAGTTCAATGTTCTTTTTGATACTGAATTTTACAGGACGTGGTGGAAAATGTTTTGCTTCTGTTCCCGGTTTAATGTGAATGTTGACCTGATAGTTTTTTACTTTACCAAGTTTGTTGTTGAAAAGTGTTGCGTAATTTGTTAGGATGTTTTGTAGTGTCTGTTGTTCATTAATTGCTTTAATAGAATATACAGCTTCCGGAAATTCCATTCCAAACATTTCACTCCAGTCTAATCCAAACAGCATAGGGTCTGAAGTCTTCATGACAATGACAGGAAGAATTTTTTGTTTTCCCTGTATTTCCACTGATGCTTCTGTTAGTCCTCTTGGTTTAAGTTTAAAATCATTATTTCCATATGCTTTCAGAGGTGGTGAACGTTTTAATTGTGGTGATCCAATTTGTTTCCAAAATTTTGTATTTATAATAGAGAATTTCGACCCTGTATCCCAATCCATTGTACAGGGTATGCCATTGATAATGGGGTCTATTCTCTTGCAGTCTTTGTTCTTGTTAAGGTGATATACTCCTTGTTCACTACATTCGTCGTCTGTAGTAGTTGACGATGATGATGATGATGATTCATTCGCGTCTTGGTAGCGAGATGAAGTGGTGTTTTGAGTCCTTTTAATGCTTTGTGTGTGCGGCCTGCTGTCAATAAAAGCGCGTCCTGTTTTAATGCAACATGATTCGAAATGGCCGATTGTGTCACATGCTTTGCAATTATGATTTATAGCTTTGCATTCATCATTACTATGCTTCTGTTTATTTCCACATCTGAAACAGTGGTCTTTTTTGAGTTTTCTGTTTATAACTTTATTGTTTTTATTGTTTGTACGTTTATGTTTATTGTCTCTTATTCTTCTAACAATGTTATCAGATTCTGCTATCTCTCTGGATTGAGCGAAAGTAAATAGTTGTTGGAATGTGACTTCTATTAATTTTCCAGTCTCATCTTTCTCAAGCAAGTCAGGCCATCTTTGTTTTAGGTCTAGGCCATCTTTGGTCTAACGCTGCATGATTAAGGCCTGTTGCAAATCTATCTCGTAATTGTCTCTCTAGCAAATTGTCATATTTGCAATCCTTACTCAGTTCCTTTAGCCTGTTTGCATAATTTGTCATTGACTCGTTTTGTTGACGTGTTGCATTCCAAAAATCAGTGAGGGCTTTATACCTTGTTTTTTTGTACCATAAAGGTCAATTAATTTAATTTTAATGTCGTTATATGTCGATGTTTCAAAATGCGGTGTGAACGCTACCTTAACTTCATGGAATATTTCAGGGCTAAGGCATGTGAAAAGTAATTGTCTCTTCACATTGTCAGTGTCTCCACCCCATATGTTACATTTGACTTCAAAGTAGTCTATGAAATTATGTATATCCGTTGTTGCGGGATTGAATTGATCGCATTTAAAATTTTTTAAGACTGTGTTTGACGATGTTGTCAATATGCTCGTGTCTGTTGCACTCGTAGTAGGGGTCTGTGACGTTCCACTTACTTGTATTACTGTTTGTGTAAGTAATTCCAGTATTTTAGTTATTTGTGTTTGTTGGTTTTGTTGTACCTTAAGGAATTCTTCCATTAATTCCGGATTCATTTTAAAATCCTCGTCGCCAATTTAATAAAATGCAATTTCACATGACAGAGTATATATTTAAATCTAAGACAGTAAAAATGTCAGAGGTTAATATGTTTTTTAAAAAGAGTATACGATGAGGTTGTAACAATTATTAATATATTTAGAAGCGAAAGAGGTTTGTTTGAATCGAAGCATTTGTCGTTCCATTGTTTCTGCCTACCCTAATGGGAGACAGGCGTGACAGATATGTATGTATGTATGTATTATATATTTATGAAATCTTCAACTTGATATTTATATCGAATTGAACACAGATGTGCTTTGTCATTAAGTTACGTCATTTAGTTAAGACCCATCTGATAAAATGCGATTAAAAGATTTTACGTTAAAACGTATACATTTGATAGAGTATTTTAAATCAAACAAAAAACTCTTTATTTTTTTATTCTCTTATGTGCAAATTGGGTCTACAGAACGCTATTATAGTTTAGTAAATTAAATATATAAAAGATGTAAATTAAAAAAAAAAAAACAGTTATATAATTTTTTAATATATATTTGAAGTGAACGAGATAGACAGCTTCTTCAGCGATTTCTTTGATCGTCACCGAAATGTATATTCATTGCTACAATCATTGAATGTGGTCACTATTTTGATTATCATATGTATAATAGTTATAAGATTTGAATAATTTATAAAAAAAAAATGGCACACTAGTTCTAGTTTAGAAATACCTACAGCAGTCAAGAACAGTTAACACGACAAAACAAAAGACGAACAAAAGTTTAACAATACTTCATTTTCACCAATTTCAACTATCGAAACAAATTATAATATTAATATAAATTATATTATATAATATATATATAATAAGACCATTTCTACATTTCGGTATTGAAGCTTTATAAATCATAATTTTGCATTATCTTCTTTTATCATATCTGCAGCCTTTTCAGCAATCATAATTATGGGAACGTTGGTATTTCCACTGGTTATAATAGGTATAGCGCTACCGTCTACGACTCTTAATTTTTGCACGCCAGAAACTCGAAGTCGTGAGTCCAACACACTTCCCATAGCACATGTACCCACATAGTGAAATATCGTTGTACTAATACATGGTATGTAACAACGCCAGAACTCTTCGCTACCTTGTTCTAAGCCTTGACAATCTTGCGTAACTAACAACTTAGCATCCACATTCTTAAAATATTTCGTTTTCAATATACGATTAAAATCATTTGCATATGCAATACTTTTTTCTATATCAGTATAATCCGAATAATGTCCTAAGTTAATTAAAGGAGGTTTTTTAGGATTTGTACTCTGCAAAAGAACACGTCCTCGAGATTTTGGCTTGAGATTGGAGCACAAGACGAAAAGTACTTCTTTTCCCTTGCTATCTTCATAGAATCGTTGACAAATATTGTAGTCAATATTAAATGAATAAGCACAAAATTGTAAAGCACTAGCGCTATCTGTAATAAGATTCATTGTTTGATAGTCTGGAAAAACTTGGGACTTATTCAAAGCTACATAACCAGTCATTAAAGGAGTTGGAAAACGATGGGGGTCGGTGGATTTTTGTACAATGCTCTTATTTTCCATAGCGTATAACAAAACTACAGGAGCATGATCTTGAAGATTTTCTCCTACTGGTAAATCGGATATTACATCAATTCCCATACTAAGTAGATGCTCTCTAGGGCCAATACCCGATAACATGAGTAATTGAGGAGTATTAATAGTTCCAGTAGATATTATTATCTCTTTGTTGGCTTTTACTGTTATGATTTCATCATTTTCTTTTATTATTTTGAGACCAATCGCGTTATTATTATCGTCAAATATTATCTTTGTAGCGAAACTGTTTTTAAGGATATACAAATTAGGTCTGTTTTTGATTGTACCAAGAAATGAGTGAGCAGTGCTCTGTCGAACATTATTAGCAATAGTGTATAACGGTTGTGAATATCCCAAAGTATAATTTCCATTTGAGTCCAAAACGATTTCATATCCTAACTCTTTAAATGCAGCCAAGTATTTATGTGTCTCATTTGATGGTTGTTTTGTAACATTTAAGAAACTATTAACACCATGAAATATCCTGTTAGGTGAATTAAGAATATCAGGATCAAGAAGATTTTCACTTTTAATGAAGTATGGTAGAACGTTGTCATAATTCCACGATTCGTCTTTGAGTATATCGGCCCAGGTATTATAATCATGGGGGTCGCCTCGAGCATATAACATATAGTTCATGCTGCTACATCCTCCTAACATTTTACCACGTGTCATATCTCTGACGTAGTTTTGAGCGCATATTCGAGAATTTTCTTCAGACGAAGTATAATTCCAATCAACTGATGTTTCTTTTAAATAAACCATTAAACCTGGAAGCTAACAAAACAAAAGTTGTATTAAATTTCGAGGTTGTAAGTAAAACAATGGTTGAAGATGTTAGTGAAAGAACGAATAAATGTAAACATGGAATATAAATTCAAACAGGAAAACTATGTCAGAATAATGTTTATTAATGGATCAAAGACTAATAGGTAAACAGCAAACCGGATGACGAATAACATAAAGCTGATACCGGGAAAATTGTGGATGATGAGGTAGTAGTGAGCTAAGGACCATGATACCATGATGTATGGGGCTACAAAGGTCGTCTGCTTAGGTACTTCTGTGTCACTCATGTTTCTGTCATGAGACAACTCTGCTCGCATGGTTGTGTTTTGATTTGAAATGTGGGTTATGGCAGTGAAGTTATAAGGTGCAGAGACATAATACATTAGTCTTCAAAAATGGCAACGCATAAAGTGAACCATGAGCACTACAGTGTATTCTACAAGAGTCATGATATTTTTAATATATATAGGAAACAGTTGCCACTATTTATCATGAAGCTTATCAGTTTATTAGCTATTTTCGGTTACAAAACATTATAAAGTATTTACAACTGAGTCTACAGGTGGATCTCCTCCGGCTTCTACAAGAAGCACCGTCGTATTTGGATCCTCAGTAAGTCTATTGGCTACTACACTCCCAGCGGACCCTGCTCCCACCACTATATAGTCGTAAATACTTCCATCTGAAAGAAAAAACTTTTTTTTATTCCAGAACGGTGGCCAATAAGCATACAGCCCGTCTGATGATAAACGGTCACTAAAGCCTATGGACGCCTGCAATACCAAACGTGTCACACACGTGATGCCTTTGGTTATTATAAACATGCTTAGGTACCTCTGTCCCATTCATGTTTTATCCGTGAAACAGCTTTGCTTACATTATATCATTTCGGATTGAAAGATATTGTAGCAAAATTACAAAGTATAGAGATATTGCACCGTAATTCTCAGAAATAGAATCGCATTTACTTTGTTAATGTTTCAACAAAAACATAACCCTAGTGTTAATACTAGTATTATGTTATCTGTGATACGAGTCATCATCATCATCGTTGTCACGTCATCCGTTATCTATCTACTGCCATAAACGAGACTACCACAAGGAACAATCTAGAGCCAGAGGTCACTGACTCTCTTACTAACAGTACTTAGTATTTTCAACCGATTTCAATGTAGTTTTTTTTTTTATATTTGTTACCTCGTAACACTGTCAATTACAAACCGATTTGGAAAATTATGTCTTTTTAATGAACATTTTTTTATACAATTTAGAATGGCAAACAAGCTGACGGCCCACCTGATGGAAAGTGGTAACCGTCGCCTATAGACATGAGCAGTACCATGGACATAATAGAGTATACTGTTTCGCCCATGATACCCCCCATGCGTTGCAATTCCTGAGGACTCGGGTGTTATTCCTCTGTACCCAGTAAATTCACGCCATGCAAACACAACTGCTTCACGGTTGAAACACGAATGGGACAGAGGTACCCAAGCAAATGATATACTATATATACTATATATTGTTTCCATAAAAAATTCATCATAATTGATTCAATAGTTGTTTTGCAAAAAAAAACTAGTTTTACTATAATTGAAGTCGGTTATTATGTATAAATATTATAAGGTGAACTCACCATTAATATTCGAACTGTGCGGGAACATATATGACGTTAGCTGCAACGTTGCAATCACTTGCAACGCATTCTGGATAGAATGTATATTGGATATTGCAGCAACTGCATCCATCTTGAACACGTAATGTGCTAATTAAACAAGGAAATAAGAATTATTTTTATTAAAATATATATAAAATTTTGTATTATTCATAGGAACACTAACAGCATTTACTTTAACATAATTATGTTATGTAAATAAAATATTTTCAAAATGTTCGAAAATATTGCGTAACATATGCACATACACACATATCATATCAGTCATCTGTCCACTGCTGAACATAGGCCTTTCCCATAAGAGGAGTTTTGCCAGTAGTCGCCACATTTACCAGGCGGGTTGACAACCTTAGTTAGGCTTTACTGATGTTTTAAGAGGGGCATTGCTGCTTCTCCCTCAATCGTTCAATTCATTAGTCATCTCTTACGACACCCACTCACGCACGCACGCACCCACGCACGCACGTACCCACCCACGCACGCACGCCTATAAATATTTCCTATGCATAGACATCATCTGCATACAATTTTACGATAATATGAATGAATGAATGAATGAATGAATGAGTATACTTTATTTGCATTATACAATATAGGAAATAAGCAAGACAATTTACAAACACAACGATACGATTGTACCATATAAGTACAGTAAGGCGGTCTTATTGCTGAGAGCAATCTTTTCAAGACAACCTTAAGGTAATGGACTAATTGTTGTACAAGTATAATAGTAAGACTTTACGTCTGTATTTAAATATAGATGATAGTTGTTTTAAATAAGGAATTATTATAAAAAATATCGTGTGATCCCGGCATAGAATAGGTCACCTCTTCCTTTCCCGTGGGTGTCTTAAAAGGCAACTAAGGGAACTTGATGGTAGAGGGATAGGCAGCAGCGTCCCTCTTAAAACATATCTAAAAGCCAAATTGCTGTTGCCAAGCTTGGCAACTGCTGGCAAAACTCCACTTATAGTAACGGCTTTTGTTCGGCAAAAGACAGTTAATGGCTGAAATGATGAATGATGACTAAAAATATGTGAAAGGATATATTTAGATTGTTTCACAAAAAAAAAACAATTAATTTATTTAGTTATGACAAAATCAGTTATCAAAATCATTTAAAAAGTAATCTACTAAACCGATTTTGATAAGATTTTTTATGGGACTAATGTATAAGTATTCTATAGATGTCATTCTAAATTACTTAATAAAAATTAAGATTGTATTTCATAAAAAATCAACTTCACTTTTTTTATACCACTGAGGTGGCAAACAAGCATACGGCCCACTTGAGGGTTAGCGGTCACCGTAGCCTATGAACGTTTGCATTACCAGGGGTATTACGCGCGCGTTGCCGACCCTTAAGGAACCTCTTTACCCCCCTTTTGAAGAAACTTGTGGCAATACTACTCATTTTAATTTTAAAAGTAAACTTCTGAACCTTTTCTTTTAAAATTTCTGTGAAATTAATCTGTAACTATATAATTTTAAATAAAAAAATAAATAACATTTCCAAATTACGACCAAAGGGAGACTTTGTACAAAACATCTGAGTCCTCAGGAATAGCAACGCATGAGGGTATCATGTGCGAAACAGTATACTCTGTTATATCCACGGTACTGTTCATATCTATAGGCGACGGTTACCACTTTCCATCAGGTGGGCCGTCAGCTTGTTTGCCACTCTAAGTTGTATAAAAAAAATTGGTTTACAGCTTACGAAGTTATGATGTAACAAACATAAAAAAATACAATCGAGTTGAGAATTCCTTCATTTTAAAGTCGTTTAATAATTAAAAAAAAAACCTACTAACCTTATGAATAACACAAAGATACCTTTTAAAACCAACTCTTTACTAAACAAATTTCTTCTGTACTTGTTTAAATCATAACTCACTATATATGTACTTTGTGAAGTCAAAAGAATTATGAGCAAGTATTGAAATCAGCAATATGTTTTATATAAAAAAAAAATTCAAAAGTGGTATCGTGGTGTCTTATCATGGAATTAATTTGCATAACTGCTTGTAAAGATAACATTCTCAATAGTTCACGCATATTTTGCGACACGTGTTTCTCTAAATGAGGCATCTTCAAGTAATGTTAACCATAAGGTTCACGCAAGTTTCTATCACTCAATTCCCTCATTCACACCTAAAAAATATATCCAACAAAGCTTTTCATCCTAACTTGTTCAATTCTAGACCAAAATGTAATTCTTCAGGCAATAAGCCTGCAGCGATTGCCACGCCAAGCAAAGAAATGCTAGAATTAACCAACAAAAAGCCACAACTTCCAACATACATACATTAGAAAAAGAACAGCAAAGACAATTACCAACCCCAGCAATTCATGACAAAACATGCTAGAAAAATGCGTGTTATGTAGAGAGTTATGAGATTTACATACAGCAAACTACAAAGGATTTTCTGTATATACAGAAATTTTGAAGAGAAAAACGAGCAACAAATTATCAGAAAAAAATAAGTATTATGAAAAAAACACCAGCTTCTCAAAGATAAAAGATATCCAATATAAAATTCAGAACAATATGTAAACAATACAGGCAAATGACGAAAGTAAACCTTTGTTTGCAGAATTCACTAAAAACCAAGCAAAATTAGAAATACTTCTCACACAATGCGCTGAATAAACTTTTAGACCAAATGTCGACAACGATGAACTGTCTCACAATACTTATCAAAAAACTTGTGAATAAAAGAATAAAAGAAATAAAAAGATAAAAAGAACACAAAAGAAAAGAAACACAAATCGAAAGAAAAAAAACTAAATCAATACGGTCCTCAAAATCGGAACCTGGAATATAAATTAATTAGTAAAACACGAACATGATTTAGATTTATTCCTCGAGCATCATGACATTGATATACTGCTCATATCTGAAGCACATCTGACATCTAACTATATATTAACACTAAAAAACTATTGTATATATTCCATATTTTATCCCCATAGAACTGCTCATGCAAGAACTGCATTAATTATAAAAAAGACAGAGAAAACACGAGTTGAAGAGTATAAAACAGAAAAATTCCAAAGTTTGGTTCATGACTTACATTACCTAGAAGTAGAGAACTGAATAAAAAGTTTTGTTAAAAACAAAATGTATGCACTGAGCGCTGGAGAACCCTCATAATGGTCTGCAGACCAAAATAAAGTGATCGACTTACTAGATTTCTTAGTTAATAAGGGTCTCTTTAACCTTTACCTAAACATTGAGAATTGCCTAGATTTCAATTCAGATCACACGCTGATTACAGCTACCTTAAGTCAACATTGATACAAAAATCGAAAGAGGATACAACTCTAAAACTGATTTGAAGACATTTCGACAGTGCATTGAGGCAAGCATGGAGCCTGTCTGGAACTGCCATTAAAAATCAATGAATATATTGACCATGTTCTTCTTTTCATTTAAGAGTTTCCTCTTGTCGGTGCAACTAATTCATGCATCTTCCTCCAGCCAGCTCTATTCCAGGCAATATCCTTTATCTCCCTATACGACATGACACCTAGTGCTTCCTTTATCTGTCCCATGTAGTTATTCCTCGGTCTTCCTCTTCCTCTTTACTGTGAGCATAACTAATTTGATACAAACTGCAGCATAGAACTATACCACAGTACATAAATGTAATGTACAGACACTACTAAGACAAATAGCACGCCCATTCCCAAAGATATCAGAACCAAGGTTCTTGATGGAAGAAGATTTAGGATAGAGTGACATATCAGGCAGCATTCTTCTGATAAGAAAGCTATCAATAAAACAGCTGCTGAGCTAAGAAAATTCCTTAAATAAATTGAAAACGAGAAATTGAAGCATAGACTACAGATCCTAAATGTCAATATAAAGAACGAATATTCTGTTTGTAGATAAATAGATAGTCTTTATTGTTTCCTCCAAAAGATCACAATAGTAAACTTATTATAAATATAAACAATTACAAGAAATATACCCTATAAAACTGGACAACAACAAGTGGGCTAGAAAAAATAACGATCCTGCAGAAGTTTTTGCATCTTTCTTAGCTAAATTATTTACATCATATATTGGTATAGTCTCAAAATATAGAGAAATAAACAACTTTTTGGAAACAAATTTGCAACTTTGCTCGCCATACTCACCACGAGAAATCTATTTCTGAAAAATAACCCGATCTGACGTACGAAGTCGCAGTTGAGAACTAGTTATTAAATAAAATAATTAACACGTGTTTCTTGCCTCCTGCTCGACATGTACATACGTGACGCTTCACTTATTTTTAAATAACTAAACATACCACAATTTACATAAGAATCAGCAGCTGTTCTAATTGAAAAAAAAATAACTAATATTAGCATGTAATGTAAATTTACATTGTCATCATCATGCGATTGGATAATAAAAATTATTTCACTTCTTCTTTTCGTTTAAGAGTTTCCTCTTGTCGGTGCAACTAATTCATGCATCTTCTTTCAGCCAACTCTATCCTTGACCTCCCTATACAACATGACACCTAGTGTTTCTTTTATCTGTCCCATGTAGTTATTCCTCACTGCAGAACACAAGCTTACTTACATAAGAAAGGTACTTAGAAGATAGTAAAGTTGGAATAGAAATAATCATCATCAACATGGGGTTTTTTTTAATGGGTGATAATGGAATCGTAATCCCACCCGCGCTATACACCGGCGGGACATAAGTGAAGGATGATAGGTGAGGATGAAACAGGTCAGTTAGCCCATTGTGACGAATTCAACAAGAATTGTTCACGATGGTTTCCAGGGGGAACCACGTGGAGGTCGACCTAAGTCAATTGTTAACAATCCCTATCCCCCGACCCCCCTTAGGGGTGTTAGCCAGTAGTTACCATGCTTGGTTAGCAAACGCAGTTAGGCTTTGGTGGCCGTCGGAGATGTGGTGAGTACGAAAGCGAACCCATGTCTCCGACATATGGCACCTCGAGGGTATATCGTCTGGTTTTTGGTGGGTACACCCCCACCTTACGGGGGGATTCCCATAGTACGTATATATAATATGGCGTGAATTTACTGGATACAGAGGAATAACACCTGAGTCCTCAGGAATGGCAACGCATGAGGGGTATCATGGGCGAAACAGTATATTCTGTTATGTCCATGGTACTGCTCATGTCTATAGGCGACGGTTACCACTTTCCATCAGGTGGACCGTCAGCCTGTTTGCCATTCTAAGTTGTATAAAAAAAAACCCATTCACCTTCCACAAGGTGAATGGGTCTGCATAAAGCATTTTCCAGACGTTAAAAAAAAAAGTTAGGCTTTGCTGATGTTTTAAGATGGACGCTGCTGCCCATCGCTTACGATACCCACTGGAAAGGGGTCGTCAAGGAGTCAATTACAAACAGTCAATATGTCCTATCTAAATATTAGTGTAGATATGGATTTGCTATGTGGTCCCGGCATATAATAGACTACCTTTATTTTCTGTGGATATCGTAAGAGCCGACTAAGGGAAGTAGATAGATAATTTATTTGCATTACTTACAGCACACAAATTACAACATATATAGATATACATAAAAAGCGAGATAACATAAATGATTTAAAAAAAATACATACAGCTAAATACAATTTTTCATTTGTGCGTGTGCCATAACAATACAAAATGGTCACAACTCAGTTTATTGCTTCGCCCTCAAAAGAGCAAAGCACTGATATTCTGTTGCGGCCAAAGGGAATAGGGTAACAATAAAACAATACTACCAGATTATCCATACAGTAAACAGACAGATATGACAGTTTATCTAGCAAACAAATGGAATATAGGGGTAACTTGCTGGAATGTCTAACTTTTGCTTCTCAATTAAGATTTTTTTTTTAAATTAATTTTGAAACTGGCATATGTTCTATCATACGCGTGTTTGTAAATTATAAAGCGATAAATAAATGCAGCTTTTGTGTTGCGGTGTCTGTGATATCACCATGGGGCTTGCCAGAATATCAGCGCTACTAACAGCACCTAAAATATTCATTTTTTTTTTATACAACTTAGAATGGCAAACAGCTGACGGTCCACCTGATGGAAAGTGGTAACCGTCGCCTATAGACATGAACAGTACCATGCACATAACAGAGTATACTGTTTCGCCCATGTTACCCCTCATGCGTTGCCATTCCTGAGGACTCAGGTGTTATTCCTCTGTACCCAGTAAATTCACGCCATATCCCACCCTTCAAACCGAAACACAGCCATGCAAACACAACTGCTTTACGGTTGAAACACGAATGGGAAGCTGATGATGCCCAGTAGCACAAATAGAAATAATATTAATTCATTAAATGTTACATTCCTTTTAATTAAAGTCACTAATTTGATTTTGAGCGTTTCTACACTAATGTCGACAATCGTTATCTTTTCATTATGTTCTATTGAAGGAAACGATAATAAGGTACGAGCACACATTATCCGATTTGCCGCGACGAAATGTAATCCGTAAGAATCGCTGCCGACTATAGTCGCCTATCACCCGCGCGTCAGTGTAATGTAATGTAAATTGGTCTCTTTGTAAATTGGATTTTTCCGCGCTTAGCCTCTCATTTGGGCCGTTGATTTTGGCCGCGCATCAGTGTTGCCAGATTCTGTAATTTATTTAACCCTTCTTTGCATAATGGTGGAAATTTCCATCATAACATTGAATGCCCAAAAATTATATAAAAGAACAAGTTTACTTTAAATTGATCGCGTCTGGATACCTTTTTTACGATGTCCATTGCAGAAAAGAAAATATACCCGTCAAATTTATTTTTTTGACCATTTTTACTATAATTTTGAACATGAATTATATCACATTGATTTATTTCACCAATAAAAAAAAAATCATGCAAGGAAGGGTTGAAAAAATCTGGAAATAAAATTCTTGGATAAATATAATAAAATGTTTTTTCCATCGTTTGCTTCTATGTACATGGTAAAAATAAATGAAAGAGATACAAGTTTGCGATTGGAGAGTTTTTTTCGTCGTTCGTTTTGTGATTCATGGCAAAAGTTAGTGGTAAAATTTGTGAAATTTGTTGGCTAAAAGTAAAGGAAATCATATTAATTTGGAGAAAAAATATTTGACCTTTGGGTAAAAATAAGAGATCGGATATAAAAACCATGTTGCGTACGTTAATCTATAGCCTACAGAAAATGAGAATTTATTACCATACCATTTGTATTTATTCCTACCATTCCCCTATGTATTCTTTTTTTTTTATTAATTAAAAAAATAACACAACTTTTCAAATATTACGAAATTTTTTTTACCAGAGGGAGACTTTGTACAAAAGTCGATTGCTTGGGTACCTCTGTCCCATTCGTGTTTCTACCGTAAAACAATAGTGTTTGCATGACTGTGTTTCGGTTTGAAGGGTGGGATATGGCGTGAATTTACTGGGTACAGAGGAATAACACCTGAGTCCTCAGGAATGGCAACGCATGGGGGGTATCATGGGCGAAACAGTATACTCTGTTATGTTCATGGTACTGCTCATGTCTATAGGCGACGGTTACCACTTTCCATCAGGTGGGCCGTTAGCTTGTTCGCCATTCTAAGTTGTATAAAAAAAAATTGTTAATGTTTATGGCTACAATGACAAATCCACCAAACAAATTTTAGTAAATAAAAAAAGGACATATAGAGCCAGAGGTCTTCTAAGTATAATTATAGAAAACATAATATTAAATCAATTTTGGAATACAAAACAGAAAATGCGGATGTAACTTTTCCGTACGATTTCTCAAACATTTCTTCCATACAAGCCTTGTCTTGATAATTACAAACACGAGAAGAAAGAATTGGGTAAATATATGGTGCCGTTCTGAGGTTTTTTTCTATACAACTTAGAATGGCAAACAAGCTGGCGGCCCACCTGATGGAAAATGGTAACCATCGCCTATAGACATGAGCAGTACCATAGACATAACAGAGTATACTGTTTCGCCCATGATATCCCCTATGCGTTGCCATTCCTGAGGACTCAGGTGTTATTCCTCTGTACCCAGTAAATTCACGCCATATCAATATATCAATACAGCCATGCAAACACAACTGCTTCACGGTAGAAACACGAATGGGACAGAGGTACTCAAGCAATCGACTTTTGTACAAAGTCTCCCTCTGGTACTGTTGTAACAGTTGTAATAGAAAATTGTAACAAATTGTAACAGTTGACGAATTATTATTACTTATTGTCGATAAACATTATTGTTTTTTGGGAGAACTATTTACAGAAAGACATAATTTGTACTCTATTATTAATTAGCACTGACATTGAACTGAATCAAATGTATTGTTTTAATTGTTTTTTTTTTAATACTATTATAATTTTATTATTATTAATTAAATAAATAGTTATAATACTAGTGTGCAGGGGGGAAAGGGATTGTTAGCAATGGAGTTTGACAGCCCCATTGCTAGCAATATGCCTTATTAAGTCGACCTCCACGTGGTTCCCCCTAGAAACTATCGTGAACAATTCTTGTTGAATTCGTCACGATGGGCTAACTGACCTGCTTCATCCTCACCTATCATCCTTCACTGGTGCCCCGCCGGTGTATACCGATAGCGCGGGCGGGGTTACCATTCCATTATCACCCATAAAAATAATAATACTAGTGTGCGGTAGCCCTTTATATTATTGTGGCATTTAATTACTTAATTGTGTTATAAATAACGTTCCGTCAAAGTTCCTTATGTAATAGTTATAATTACTTTACACAGAACGGTTTTGTTTAATTGAATTGCTATTAATTTCATATTAATAATAAAAAGTGTTGTTAAAAATGATTCTTTTCACTCGCATATTGAGTATTTTATCATTGTTATTATATTTTACAAATGCAGGTTAGTCACCATAATGTTTAATAACTTTTTTTGACATATTTATTTATATTTAGATTTTAAAATTACAAACATTCTAAATTGTATTGTAAAATCTTTATTGTACATAATTCACATTGAACACTGATAAATGATTTAATCTACAATGGCGGACTTATCCCATAAAGGGATCTCTTACAGTCAAACTTTGAGAAGCTGAAAGAAAACTATAGAATGTATAAGGGTAATAACCTTACAATGAAAGATAAACTAAATAATACCCAGTAAAAAAATTGAATATATAATACAATAAAAACAGCTGTATACACCTACATATGTAAATAATAAAAATACATGAATAATAATATAATATTAATACATAAATTAATAAAAACTTACACACATAAATACATATATATACATACATACACACACATATCTACACACACACACACATATATATATATATATTTTTTTTTTATACAACTTAGAATGGCAAACAAGCTGACGGCCCACCTGATGGAAAGTGGTAACCGTCGCCTATAGACATAAGCAGTACCATGAACATAACAGAGTGTACTGTTTTGCCTATGATACCCCCCATGTGTTGTCATTCCTGAGGACTCAGATGTTATTCCTCTGTACCCTGTAAATTCACGCCATATCCCACCCTTCAAACCGAAACACAGCCATGCAAACACAACTGCTTCACAGTAGAAACACGAATGGGACAGAGGTACCCAAGCAATCGACTTTTGTACAAAGTCTCCCTCTGGTAATATATTACATCATCATTATATCAGCTTTTAACTATCCACTACTGTATATAAGCCTCCCTTTGAGGGGTTTTGTCAGTAGTTGCCATGCTTGGCAGGCGGGTTGGCAACCACAGTTAGGCTCTGGTGATGTTTTAAGAGCGATATTGCTTCCCATTCCTTAACCATTAAATTCCCATAATCACCGCTTACGACATGAAGGGGAGGGCAGTATAATATATATATATAGCAATGTGGTAGTAAAATTACAGCATACGCCATAACATCGCATGATTAATACCATGAGTATCACAGTATAATTTTTTATGCATCTTAGAATGACAAACAAGCTGACGGTCCACCTGATGGAAAGTGGTAACCGTCGCCTATAAACACGAGCAGTACCGTGGACATAACAGAGTATATTGTTTCGCCCATGATACCGCCCATGCGTTGCCATTCCTGAGGACTCAGGTGTTATTTCTCTGTACCCTGTAAATATTATATTATACTCACGATGCTGTAATGTCTATAGGTGACAGTTACCACTTTTCAACGTGTAAACCGTCAGTTTGTTTTGCCATTCTTTCATAAAAAAGACATTTGGACTCTTGACTTTTCTCAGTGGAGTTGTCGTTATTGAAATGCTGAACAAAGTCTTCTCCATGAGGGGAGTTTTGCCAGTAGTTGCCACGCTTGGTAGACGGATTGGCAACCGCAGTTTGGCTTCTAGTGATGTTTTAAGAATGACGCTGCTGCCTATTCTTCCACCATAAGCACCCTTAGACGCCTCTTACGACACCAACGTGAAAGGAGAGAGACTTTACCACATGGAGACTTTGTACAAAAGTAGATTGCTTGGGTACCTCTGTCCCATTCGTGTTTCTACCGTGAAGCAGTTGATTTGCATGGCTATGTTTCGGTTTGAAGGATGGGATATGGTGTGAAATTACTGGGTACAGAGGAATAACATCTGAATCCTCAGGAACGGCAACACATGGGGGGTATCATGGGCGAAACAGTAAACTCTGTTATGTCTATTGTACTGCTCATGTGTATAGGCAACGGTTACCACTTTCCATCAGATGAGAAGTCGGCTTGTTTGCCATTCTAAGTTGTATAAAAAAAAGGGAGGGGTGGCCTAGTCTATGTAGGGACTTACACGACGACAGTTTAACAGAGTAACCAGTGTTCATTATATCTTCATCAGAGAGTAGAAAGTTCCGATTCGACTACACATATAGAGAAGATATCGACGGCTGGATAAAACTACACCGCACACCGGTCACATGGAACGAGGCTCGTCTCCGATGTCACGCTGAAGGTAATCCATGCATATTGTTTTTATACTCTTGGAACATTATATTTCACGCCATCTTTTGTTCGTTGCTTCGCTCGCGTGTGTGTGCCATTCGATTTCTTGTTCTATGAAAGTTTACAAATCTAACTTCTAAAGTGGTGAAATGCGACACAAACTTTCAACCCCCGTCTTACCGTCATAGGGGTTGAATTTTTAAAACTCCTTTCTTATTGTTCACCTACGCTATATAATGAATTCCAATATTAGACATATATTCAGCAGTTCCGCTGTATGTTGGTATATGTGTCAGTCAGTCATCCAGTATCTAGGAGAGTCATAGATGCTTTTCAACAGTTTGTTTCAACAGAATTGAATAAAAATGTAAACAAATAAATAATTGGTCCTACCATAAGATAGTCTGCTAACGTACAAGTGAAAAATCTGTCTATATTTCTGTGATAATTTATTAACGTGCCCTTCATACGCTTTCTGTTTTTACGTAATGGTTAGCTGGCAGAGAATGCCATATGGCATTTAGTTCGCCACTTGTACAAAGTTTTATTGTGCAATGAAGATTAAATAAATAAACAAATAATTACATCAAAACTTGTTTATAGTTTACTGAACTATATGTTATTTTTCGAAAGTCCATATCACTGGTTATTTGATTAAAACTATTTTGTTTAATTCCGCTACCTGCTATGTGTGCCACTAGCAACCCTCAAAATTTGAGTACTATTATTATTACCAAGACTATCAGAACATTTATTACATCTAGGTAGGAAAAACCTCAAAATAATGATAGGGACAATAACGGGCCATTGTCCATTAAACAAACATTTGTACACAATAGGAGCCACAGACAGCCCTCTATGTCGAGGCTGTTTCGACGCACGAAGAAACGGCTGCTCACGTAATCCTGGAATGTGAAGCTGTGCTCCATGAATGTTTGGAAATCCTCTAAAGAGTGAGGTCGCTCCGTGAGGCCTGTGAAGATCCCAGGAAGCTTCTGTGCTTCTGGGCGGAACTAGGTTGGCTGCACCAGCCACGACTCATACGCACAACGGCCCAAATTAGAGGCTAAGTGCGGAAAATGGAGTCCTATTTACATTACATTATTACCAAAAATTCAACAACCTTCCATATTAGACACCAAATTCCGACTGCCATTTAGTCCACACACGTTTTTACCTATAAAACATTTTAAGGTAATAGATATGTAATAGACAAAAATTATCATAATTACACGGCTTGCATAATATACACAGAGCATGGAGTCTCAAAAACGGGTCGACATTTTGTCAGCTAATTGTCGAATTAGCTAATTTGTTTTTTATCAGCGTTCTACATATTTACGCGCATAATGTATCTTGACATTATTTTTATTTGATTATTTAATAAATAAAATAAGTTTTTACACATTAAAAACATGCAAAAATTATAAAACAAAATAAATATAAAAGTTATAAAAGAAACACTCAACTATTTATAACGCAAAATTGTATGAAAAAGTTGATCCACTTTTCTTGAAGTATTTCTATGGAGACAGATTATTTAAGTTACACGCATACAGCATGTTCATTAAATTCCCATTTTCCAGTTATATGTAAAAACTAATGGGTTGTTTTATTTCCACATTAGTAATTTAATTATTACACGATAATTATTGAAACTAACAGTTTCTTATCAAAGTCATTATAACCTCAAAATTTTATAATTTATTCTCTATGGCTTTTATTTTAAGGTACATTTTTGTATTACGATATAATATCACGTGTCACGTTATAAAGAAGAAAGATTTGACTGTTTGGTTGCAATGATATAAACTGAAAAACTCCTTAAACAATTTAAAATTTTTTTCTTTCACTTTAAGAAAACTAAATGGGCTGTTTATCTATCCTATTTAAGAGCTGCGCTCTTGTCGGTGGAGCTCTTGCCACTCACTACGATTTTCAGCGAGTCTCTTCACCTCTTGATACGACACGACACCAACTCCTTCCCTGATCTGCCTGATGTAACTATGTCTTGGTCTCCCTCTCCCCCTCCTTACTTCTATCTTACCTTCTATTATAATGTTCATAAGTTCGTCGTGTCGTATCAAGTGTCCCAGCATTTTTCTCCTTTTGTCCTCAATAGTTCTAATCAATTGTCTTTTTTCCTTAATCACAAGCAGGACCTCCTCATTGCTAATTAAAAAAAAATTAAAGAACTTCCACCTGCCCCCGTGCGAAGCCAGGACAAATCGCTAGTTACTAATAAAAGCCATTAATGTTCTCAATCATCTAATAGGTGCAGTCTTGGCATCACCATTCACTGAGGCGTTCCGGCGTATGATGATGACACTGGCCACGTTGAACAATAACACTCAATTTGGAACATTCACTGGAGTCCACGCCACACTCCATAAAGGCGTATACACTTCAATCGAAGGTCAGTATTTCTTTCACAACACCATTACCATATCAGTCTTTTGCTGTCCACTGCTGAACATAAGCCTCCCAGGAGTTTTGCTAGTAGTTACCATGCTTGGAAGATGGATTGGCAACCGCAGTTAGGCTTTAGAGATGTTTTAAAAGGGACGCTGGTACCTATCCTTCGCCCTCTCTTTGTTGCCTCTTACTACACTTACGGGAAAGGAAGGGGTGGCCTATTCTATGCCAGGACTACACAGAAAGTACGGCAGTATTAGGGGGGAAAGGGATTGTTAGTAATGGAGACTGAGAATCCCATTGCTAACAATATACCCAACCAGGTCATCCTCCTCGCGGTTCTCCCTGGAAACTATCATGGTTAATTCCTCATGAATTCATCCTGATGGGCTAACTGGCCTGTTTTCATTCTCATCTATCACCCTTCACTGGTGCTCCACCAGCGTATCCTGTTAGCGCAGGTTGGGTTACCATACCATTTTCACCCATAAAAAAAAACAAGTACGGCAGTATTTGTTTGTTGAGCAACATTTATTAATTTATTTCAATTCGTCTAATTGTCCACTGCTTCTCGTAGACGTGTCTCATGAACTAAGCTGACTGGACTTCACTGACTCCTTGAATATGGGAAAGAGATTGTTAATAAAGGGATCTAAGAACCTCATTACTATGAATATACCCCAGCAAGGTAACGTTCACGTAGCTTCCCCTGGAAACTGTCTTGTTCTTGTGATTTTTTCGTGAACATTATTAAAAATTATTACAACAATGTAGAGCTTCAATCTATACTATTACAGGGTGGGATATGGCAAAGAATTTACAGGGTACAGAGCAATAACACCTGAGTCCTCAGAAATAGCAACGCATGGGGGGTATCATAGGCGAAACAGTGTACTCTGTTATGTCCATAGTACTGTTCATGTTTATAGGCGATGGTTACTTTCCATCAGGTGGGCCGTCAGCTTGTTTTTTGCTATTCTAAGTTACATACAATTAAATTATATTATATAAATTATCATATCAGCCATTAATTATTCTACTACACAAACTCCCCCATAAGGGGGGTTTGCCAGTAGTTGCCATGCTTGGCAGGTAGGTTGGCAGCCACAGTTTGGTCTCTCCTCTCCCCTCTACCATAAGCTCCTTTAATCGCCTCTTACAACACCCACGGGAAAGGAAGGTGTGGCTCATTCTATGGCGGGACGTACAGGGCGATTTTAATCATTCTTTTTAATTGATAGAGTTTACTCCCGTTTTAGTCCTACGCCACTGAATTCACCGATTACGCAATCTAAATACAAAATATATTCAATCTAATGTATCTATGGAACATCTCGTTATTTATTGGTGCATTTTATTACTTTTTTTTTGTTTTCCAAATTTTTCGAATCCTAGGTGTGCCACTATCCAGAATGCCAATACGCTGGGCGATGGACGAGCCTGACAACTATGAGAACAACGAAGATTGCCTGCTGTTTATGCCTGATGGGACCATGGCTGACGTCAACTGCAATAAAACCTTCCCTTTTATGTGTTACAAGAAAAAAACAGCAAACCTTGTCACTACTGCTTGTGGTTTTTCTGATGCCAGTGAGTATGTTTATAAATTCAAAGTTCTTATTTAGGTTATATAGATAAATCTTAGATTATACGAATACATAGCTGAATATTAAGACTACACAAAAATATATAATATTATCTCAACTTACCACATTCATCATAAAAAACTTCATTTTATTTCTTAAAAAATCCAAATAGAAGGCTTCTACCTTACGAAATTATACAGCACACGAACCCACTAAAGATTTAAATAAAAGTCTAAATCTATCATTTTCAAATTCAAGCGAAACCATTTACAGACTACTATCTGGAACCTCAAACGGGCAGCTGCTATAAGTTCCACCATATCTGCCAGACCTGGCACCGCGCGTACATGACATGCGAATCTGAAGGTGGCCACCTCGCCATCATCAACAGCAAAACAGAGGCACAAGTCCTGAAGGAGTTGTACGCGAAAAACCTCATTATATCACCGCCCTGCGATAACAAAGACATGGCGATGCTCGGATTCTTGGATTGGAATCGTGAAAAATACTGGACTACTATACATAGTGAGCCTTCCTATTTCTTGAATTCTCTTTTATTTATGTTTAATACTGGATATTATCTATATTTCCTTACAGATAGATAGATACTCTTTATTGTTTCCTCCATAAGATTACAATAGATCACCAGAGGGAGACTGTACAAAAGTCGATTGCTTGGGTACCTCTGTTCCATTCGTGTTTCTACCGTGAAGCAGTTGTGTTTGCATGGCTGTTTTTGGGTTTGAAGGGTGGGATATGGCGTGAATTTACAGGGTACAGAGGAATAACACCTGAGTCCTCAGGAATGGCAACGCATGGGGAGTATCATGGGCGAAACAGTATACTCTGTTATGTCCATGGTACTGCTCATGTCTATAGGCGACGGTTACCACTTTTCATCAGGTGGGCCGTCAGCTTGTTTGCCATTCTAAGTCACTTAGAAAAAAAATTACAATACGTTCTGTAACGCTACAATGCTGTTCTTGTCTATAGGTGGTGATTACCATTTTCCAGTGGGCAGTCGAAATGTTTGCATTTCTAGGTATCACAAAAAAATGGAGATACTTCGTATAGATGACGAAAAATGAAAAGTAACTGTAATAACATTTGACAAATTCATTTCAGGTGAAACTCTAGAAGATGCTGGATATGCAAGTTGGTCTTTGTTCCAACCAGATTACGTGACCTTGACCCCGCGACCACAAAGTTGCGGAGCGATGTTCAGGTCAGGGTTATTGGGCAATGTACAGTGTGAAGTCGCGTTATATCCATTTATCTGTGAGAAGACTCCAGACAGTCTAGAAGAAAAATAATAAACCAAGAATAATTAAAATGCTATCAAAAAAAGAATGTAAAGAAACGGAATTTATGATTAAAATATTAAAAAAAAACTAATAAATTATAATATATATATATATATATATATATATACACTCCTCGCAAAAATTAAGGGAACATAAAAATTTTTGAAATTTTTGGGTGATTTTCAACAGGCTGTATTTCAGTGAAAAATAATCGTATAGGAAATTTAAAAAAAGGGTTTTGAAGCTTGAAAACTCTAGTTTTCAGATTTTTTGGTGAAAAAATTTTTTGAGCTCCGGTTTCCATGCAATTCTTAAACAAAGCTGAAAATAATTTTTTTCTAAATTTTCTAGGATTCGTTTTTCACTCTATGGGCATGAAAAAATTTTTTCGAGCTACTCCATTGTATAGGTCTCTTAGCGTGTTTATTCAGCTTCAAAAATCGCTTTGGATGGCTCAATTACGACCATTTGTCTCCGAGATATCGAACTTTGAATGCAAAAGCATCCTTTTCCATTCAACTGCTAATATCTCTGGAACTACTGGTCGCACAGCAAGCGGGCGCCGAGTTTCTTTATCTGCATAAAATTTCCAATTAAGCACAGTCAAGAGTTAGTGAAGAAAAAATTTTTTTCCACCTCTAACATTGAATTGAAAAAAGTGGAAAAAAGTGACTTTTTCTCCTTTTTTGGTTACTTGGCTGTATCTTCGCTAATATGGGCGGGAAACCTAAGGTTTGAGGAAAATTTTACAGTCTATTGTTCCTTAAAGAACCCCCTAAATCCCTGGAGCGATCGGTTCAACGGTTTTTCCCGGACCAATTGATTAAAATTTTGGAAAAAATAAGGGAACAAGGTTTTTGTCCCTTAAACTCACCCTAATCCATTCAAAAATCAATAATTTCATTTGTTTTTCACTTTTTACTCAATTTTTTGTTTTTTAAAAATTCATTATCAAAAAAAATCGAAAAAAATCAAGAAAATTTTATGCAGATAAAGAAACTCGGCGCCCGCTTGCTGTGCGACCAGTAGTTCCAGAGATATTAGCAGTTGAATGGAAAAGGATGCTTTTGCACTCAAAGTTCGATATCTCGGAGACAAATGGTCGTAATTGAGCCATCCAAAGCGATTTTTGAAGCTGAATAAACACGCTAAGAGACCTATATAATGGAGTAGCTCGAAAAAATTTTTCCATGCCCATAGAGTGAAAAACGAAACCTAGAAAATTTAGAAAAAAATTATTTTCAGCTTTGTTTAAGAATTGCGTGGAAACCGGAGCTCAAAAAATTTTTCACCAAAAAATCTGAAAACTAGAGTTTTCAAGCTTCAAAATCCTTTTTTTAAATTTCCTGTACGATTATTTTTCACTGAAATACAGCCTGTTGAAAATCACCCAAAAATTTCAAAAATTTTTATGTTCCCTTAATTTTTGCGAGGAGTGTATATAATCCACTGTTATTTTGTATCCTGCAATTATATTTCGCCATGTGGTCCCCGCATAGAATAGGTCACCCTTTCCTTTCCCGTGGGTGTCGTAAGAGGCGGTCAAGGGAGAACGAGAAATGGGCAGTAGCGTCCCTCTTAAAACATCTTCAAATCCTAACTGCGGTTGCCAATCAGCCCGCCAAGCATGGCAACTACTGGCCAAAACCAAGGGAGAGGCTTATGCTCAGCAGTGGACAGTTAAAGGCTGGTATGATGATGATGATGACGATGATGATGAATATTAATTCTGCTAGTCTTTGCCGTGTAATGTGATTCAGTTCTGGGTAAATTTCTACAAATTTTTGATATAACAATGGCCTGTATCCAGTTAAATTACTTTCTACATTAGTGACTATATATGGTAAAAGCAACGGAGCAATTGCTGGTTTACTTCATTTGTCCATTTCATCCGTTGTCTATTTCGGCCTCCCTGAGTGGTTGAAGGCATCATGTCCTCCAAAACACTTCTGGCAGGGTTGGTTGATGTCGAGGCAGTAGCCCTATTTTCGACCGTCGCCTTAATTATTATTATATACATATGTATTATTTCTCAGCTTATAGCTGGTTTTGTAGAGACAAGGACGGGATTGTTACCAAGTCACTTGTTCTCATATTTTATTTTATTCAGTAGGAATGTTAGGAATTGGACTATTTAAAAATTTTCTAACTATGGAGCATGTATCTAATACTGTAGATTTCTGGAGTTCAATGAGGAATGTCTTATTCAGGTGCAGTTTATTTAATGAGTTGTGTAGAGATTTTGGGATAACGCCAGTAGAAGATAAGTTTTAGGTTTTCGGTATTTGGTATGGAGATGTCTAAAAGGTAAGTTGTCTTTTCTTTTCTTCTTTAATAATAAATAATAATAATTAGCCACGCTTGGCGGGCCAATATTTGCCATTAACCAGCTCTCAGAGACTGTAAATCTTTATACCAGTCCTTGGATACTGTGTCTTTTTAATCGAGAGAAACTAATACTTCCCGATCCCTGTAATTGAGAGGCCAATTCATTTCTATGGCTGTTCAATCTGGACTGATAGTTTTTGCTGAATGTCTCGATTTCCTAGGTACATATTACTGTATTTAAGATAAGAATATAGCTAGTAGTAAAATCCTTCGGTGCAAGGTAAACCAAACAAGCAGTAATAGTTAAAGTCGCAAGTTTTCATGTTCACAGTTAAAAATATCTCTTTGCTATTAGCCACAATTCTATAACACATTTCTGTTATCATCTCGCAGATCTTTGTACATCGGCATTTAGCATCCAAAAAATTCCGAATTCGTTCACTTGTTCCGCACACAGGAAAAGCCACTTCTATCTTTTTATCTTTTTTTTTATACAACTTAGAATGGCAAACAAGCTGACGGTCCACCTGACGGAAGGTGGTAACCGTTGACTATAGACATGAGCAGTACCATAGACATAACAGAGTATACTGCTTCGCCCACGATACCCCCCATACGTTGCCATTCCTGAGGACTCAGGTGTTATTCCTCTGTACCCTATAAATTCACGCCATGCAAACACAACTGCTTCACGGTAGAAACACGAATGGGACAGAGGTACCGAAGCAATCGACTTTTGTACAAAGTCTTCCTCTGGTAAAATCTAGTTATCTGTAAAGTTACTGGGAATCCCACTTCATTACTCAGTACGTACGTCACTTGATAAAGTTATATATGTAGCAGGAAAATAAGATAACAGGGAATTTCGTAAAATATCTAGGAATATCAGTAAATCACGGTACATATCTAAAATTCTAAAATAAAAAGGAATAAAATAAAATATTGTTTTGTCAACCCTGAATGTTTTTAGTAACAGTTTTCTTTTTAATGGATGATAATTGAATGGTAGCGTCTCTTGCGCTAACAGTATACGCTGACTCGGCATCAGTCAGTCGGTCAGTTAGCCCATTGTGATGTATAAATCCAGAATTCAGCATGATGGTTTCCAGGGGAAGCTACGTGGAGGTCGACTTGACAGGGTATATTTATTTTTATTTATTTATTTACACTTTAATGCACAGTAAAGTTGTATGTACATTTGACGGACTTAACACCGGACGGTGTTCTCTACCATTGGGCAAACAGAGAAATACGCAACTGCAATTAGGCTTTGGTGATGTTTTGAGAGGGACGCTACTGCCCATCCCTCGACCATTTTAATGGTCATATTTATATATAAATAAAAAATATTATATATTCAATTTATAAGTATAAAAATAGTATATATATTTTATTAAAATAAAATATCTTTGAATATCTTAATCGTCACTTGCCGCCAAGTGAAATTATGAACAATCGTGAGAGCAATAATATAAAAAATAATATATTAAAATACTCGCATTTTCCATGACTGTCTAGTTGTCTGTTGATTTTATTTCACTGCAACATATATATATATAATATATTCAGAAAAGTCACAGACCTCTATATCTCTAGACCGAGACCTTTCCATTCATTATCATCATATTTTATAATTATATATTTATCGTATAAATAAATGTACATCCCATTCGCTCATAATCTTACAACACCTTGAACAGAACTGTTCAATTTCAATACATTTACGTCTTATTTAAAGTGCATATACAAACCCGTTATTTTTTTTTTCAAAAACATGATTGGAACTGCCACTGCATTAAGTATTTTAACGTTATTGTTCTTCCCAACCGCAGGTTAGTTACTTTTAATATATATACATATATACATATATACATATATATATATATATATATATATATATATATATATATATATATATATATATATATATATATATATATATGAGACAGTGAGTTATTTTTTAATGGATGAAAATGGAATGGTAACCCCGCCTGCGCTAACGGTATACGCTGGCGAGACACTAGTAAGGGATGATAGGTGAGAATAAAAAGGCAGGTCAGTTAGACCATCATGATTACTACATCTGGAGTTGTGCACGATGGATTCCATGGGGAGCCCCGTGGATGTGGACCTGATCAGTCCCACTGCTAGCAATATAGGGCATATTGCTAGCAAAAACCCTGGTGGCCTGTAATACAGGTATTCTTATACCTATCTCAGGCACCAGTCTCTCACTATTATATTTATAATTTGATTAATATAAGCCTTGTGTTTCACTGTAATGAACTGTGAAGAGAAATAAATCTATTTATTATTAAAAAAAATGGAACTGATAGTTCGTGATTCTAAGTTGTATATTTATTTAAATTTTATAATTTGTTGTATTTATGCTTTTCTGGGTGGGCGTATTGGAAGACTGTAAGGCTCACCCAGTAAATAAATAAATAAAAATCCGTAGAGTTGGCTGAAATTTGATATACACGTACTAAATGGCATGGAGAAGGCAGGCTACTACGTACGTGTTATCACTACCAATCAATATATAGTTAGTCGGTGATACATAACAAAATATTTAATCGCCATCAAAAAAGTAAAAAAATATTTCAATTAAGTTATTCATTTTTCCATATTGTCTGTAAGAGATTGCTTTTAGGGATAAGGTCGTCTTTTGTTCGCCTTTGTACATTCAGCATAATTACTCCTTGTATACATCTCTTTTGTGTACAATAAAGAGTCGATTATTGTTTTTCAATGACAGCATTGAAAAACTTTTGAAATATAAATATAAAAGCTTATATAAAATTATTACAAATTTAACATAATTATAACAAGATGATGACACATAGGAGATTTAAGAATATATAATATATTTTTTTTTTATACAACTCAGAATGGCAAACAAGCTGACGGCCCACCTGATGGAAAGTGGTAACCGTCGCCTACAGACATGAGCAGTACCATGGACATAACAGAGTATACTGTTTCGCCCATGATACCCCCAATGTTATGCCATTACTGAGGACTTAGGAATTTTATGTTCTTTTACGTTCATTCTTTTATTTCACAATTGTCAGAAATGACATTAAAATTATAATGACTTCATTAATCTCCCGTATTTATGTTAGATTTTCAATCTATTTGTTTTTAGTATCATCATGTCAAAATTTAACTATTCACTGTAAGGTGGACTACCAGTTCCATTGCTAGCAATGTACCCTATCAGGTCGACCTCCACGTCGATTCCCCCTGGAAATAATCGTGCTGAATTCCTGGTGTATACATCACGATGGACTAACTAACTTGCTTTTTTATTCTCACCTTTCATGATACCCTCCATGCGTTGCCATTCCTGAGGACTTAGGTGTTAATAATAAAAGTAATAAAAGACAAAACATAATATTTCAAAATTTTGTCTGTTTGTCTATTAATGTGTTTAAATAAAGTTCAGTCGCGGGCAGAAACTAGTCAAATATAAATAATATAATATATATATATATATATATATATATATATATATATATATATATATATAATTCATTAATTCATTAAAAATATGAATTTCAATTTACATAATAAACTGTTCTTCACGAAATATCAGTTTGTTTTCTACCTCCAGTGTGTTACGGTTTGAAGGGTGATGGGTATGAAATATGGCAGTGAAGTTACACGTTAAGTGTAATAGTCCTCAGGATTGGCAACGCATGAGGTGTATCATGGACGTCACGGTGCATTTTGCAATGTCCGTGTCATCCCACACTGCTCATGACCACACGCGATGGATACCACTTTCCGTCAGCTTGTTTACCATTCTGAAGATTATAAAGCCAAACCTGATAATAGCTGATGTATTTACGTACTATATATAATGATTTTTTTCTTTTTTGTTATCAGAAGGTAGACATTTTCGATTCGATTATACATACAAGGAAGAAATTGACGGTTGGATGAAGCTACACCGCGTACCGGCTACTTGGAATGAAGCACGACTCCGATGTCACGCTGAAGGTAAAAGGCGCAGACAAATTATTCTGTAATGTTCAAAAGGTAATTCTTATGTACTTTGTGCATTAAATAGGCAATAGAAAGTAACGAAGGCTCCAAAGCGTTCGCCAGGGATTTGGCTATTGGACGAAGCCAATTGACAAAGCTGAAGACCGACACACATATAATTTCCCTTACATCTGAGATTTTGAGAGAGATTGAGAAGTTCTATGGACAGCTGTACACAACGTCGTTAACACCGCATACCAATACGAATAACGACCAAAGAGCTAAAGTCACCCTATACTATACCGATGATATCCCGGACGTCAGTTTGCAGAAGATTGAAATGGCTCTCAAACAGCTTAGAAACGGCAAGGTGCCTGGGGAGGACGGAATTACAGGAGAGCTTCTGAGAGCAGGTGGAAAACCGATACTTGTAGTCCTTCGGAAGCTATTTAATTTCATCATCCATAACGGTGTTAGGACAGAGGCGTGGAGCAGAAGTGTGGTGATCCTGTTCATCAAGAAGGGACAATACCCTATTGAATTCCGACCGATATCTCTTCTGAATCGCATCTATGTACTGTTTTTGAGAGGCCTGACCAATCGTTTTACGCGCAAATTCGACGACTTCCAACCACTCGAACAAGCTGGCTTCCGAAAGGACTTTACCACCATAGACCACATACATACTCTACGGCAGATTATACAGAAGACCGAAGAGTATAATCTGCCACTTTGTCTGGCGTTTGTCGACTATGAGAAAGTCTTTGATTATGTCGAGACATAGGCGTAAGGCTACGATGACACAACCAGAGACAGAACTCGTATTTTGGTTACGTTCATAAAAATTACACATATCTAAGGATATGGATATAATTACATATATAAGGATATGTATAATTTTTATGAACGTATCATCATCGTCTTTCTGCCCTTATCCAAGTAAATTGGGCTCGGCGTAATATGTTTTTACTCATATTATTTAAAGTTTTAGCTTTTGGCTTTATGACCAGTCGCCTACTATGTTTAACAGGAGCGGTTTTGGCGTCGCCACTAACGCAATCATTCCTACCCGTGATGAGGAAGTTGATGTTGGCAAATAATATCACCCAGTGTGGAGCATTTACCGGAATTCATGCGACGCTGTATAAAGGTGTTTATACTTCGATAGAAGGTCAGTATTAAATACACAGCGACGACATCAAACATGCGTACGAGTATGATCTACTCGATGATCTAAAAGCACTTAAGTCAGTCAGACCAGTGTGTTATTGGACGATCTAGATTACTAATAGAGTCAGTTTTATTATCTGGTGGCGCTCAGCATGTATTCATTCAGTCATAGCCCAACTTATCTAATCTAAACTATTATTACATAAAAGAACAATTTATTATTTGTTTATAACATAACCAGCAAACGATATGTATGTTGTGTCACGTATGACAATAAGTAGGTAGAAGAAAATATTTCCGCCTCGGAAGCGAAGATGTGAGCGCACTACGTCAGTCTAGTCGTGATCACGGCTGAACCTGATCGAAACGTCAAGATAATTCTAGCAACTTATAATACTCGAAGTTTCTTCTTCCATAAACTATAAACTATGCAACGCAAAATTCTAAAAGTTAATACTCAGATAAAATAAAGTTTGTGTCCCACAAAAATAAACCCGACTTGAATTGTGATAAAGCTAGTTAGTTTGATTTAAAAACTAAACTACTGAGCTGAAAATTTTAACTAAACTTGTGAAGAAACCAGTTAGTTTATTCATTCATTCGTTTATTCATAATTTATTAAACGATTGTCCTTTAGAAAGATTATTAATCTTGGGAAATTTTATTTATTTGCTTGGAGTATATCTTACGTAAATTTTTTTATAAAGAACTGTTAAAATTGTCTGTAACCTATATTGTTGTACCACTCTTTTCTGTGAAATATTTCTGTCGTTACGTAATTTTCAGGACTAAAACTCTTTCAGCCCTTTAAATTTTAGTTTACCAGAGTTTCGTTATTTAAAATTTCCTATTACAGGTGTACCGCTCGCCAGACTTCCAATACGCTGGGCGATCGACGAGCCTGACAACTATGAGAACAGCGAAGAGTGCCTGCTGTTACAACCTGACGGCACCATGGCCGACGTCAACTGCAGTAACACCTTCCCCTTCATGTGCTACAAGAAAAAAACCACCAACATTGTAGCCACCGCATGTGGTACTTCTGATCCAAGTAAGTATTACGACTCGTTTATCAAACTCTTCCATTTTTCTCATCCATTACCATTTTCTACGTTTATTTAAATTTAATTTAAATTTTAATTGCAAGCTTTAAAACTACTAGTAAATAAACACAAACACCTAACATACAAATAATAGTGCACTGAATAACAAGCTTCTAAATTTACATAAATTTCTTAAATTGGGGGTCTCATTCTGCTTTGCCGCCCCTGAATAGCCTATATCTTTCTTTATGTTAAATTATTTATATATATATATATATATATATATATATATATATATATATATATATATATATATATATATATATATATATATATATATAAACAAAATGCCAAATTATGCCAGTTGGTTGAATCATTCAAGCGCCAATAGATAGCAAACTAACTTTAAAAGTTTAATATTGGTGAATACCGTTAATTCGTAAGCAATTTAGTATTTATATAATGAACGAAACTATAAAATACATAAAATGCAAAAGAGCGCGTACACAGCTAGAACTTATCTATTGCGGCACATCATCATCTTTGAAAACTTTAAAATCCTTAGTATCGACACATCCAGAATGTCTCATTTCAGTCATCTAAAAGACAAGGTCAGACCGTTTTTAAAACGCTCGGTGTAATCAGTAGAACTAGGGCAATCACTTCTCGTTCTTCTGACGATAGAAAATTTATAACCACATCTTGAAATATCAGTAGTCGCGTATTAAAGACAGTTTTAAAGACGTTTTCTCAAAATCCTTTTCAGATTCTATTTTTAAATAGATTTTGCGTTAGCTCGGAAACTAGATCAATATCGGAAAAAGACAATTTGATTCCATTCATTGTACAGTTTCATGGTAACGAAATTTCTTTTGTCGACTCTGATACCAGATTTTAAATGTAACAATAATTTTCTTTGCAGATTACTATCTGGAACCACGGACGGGCAGCTGCTATAAATTCCACCATATCTGCCAGACCTGGCACCGGGCTTACATGACATGCGAATCTGAAGGTGGCCACCTCGCCATCATCAACAGCAACACAGAGGCACAAGTCCTGAAGGAGTTGTTTGCTAAGAACCCAACTGTATTATCACCCTGTAGTTACAAAGATATAGCATCACTTGGTTTCTTGGATTGGAATCGTGACAATTACTAGACTACTATTCATAGTAAGACATCTAACATCTGCAGAAAGTTCAATAAATTTACTGTAGTTTTTTTTTTTTAATATAATTCTCTATGGTATCATACAGCAACTGGGCCCTGTCTTGTATCTTCTTTAAGAACTATTATTTGCTTTTTACCATTTCGCCAGATTTACGAGATTAATTTACATTCGTGTTTCTACCGTGAAACAGTTGTGTTTGCATGGCTGTGTTTCGGTTTGAAGAGTGAGATATGGCAGTGAATTTACAGGGTACACAGATATAGATTTACACACAGATACCACTTAGTCCTCAGGAATAGCAATGCATGGGGTGTATCATGTGTGAAAAAGTATACTCTGGTATGTCCATAGTACTGCTCATGTCTATAGGTGACGATTACCACTTTCCATCAGGCGGGCCGTCAGATTTTCGATAAAAAAATAATTTTCTAAATCAGTTTACAACCAACGGAATTATGTGGTAACGAAAATAAAAGAAAAACAACCGAAATATGAACTTCCCTCTTTTTAAAGTCGATTGAAAATAAGGAATTAGGTAATATAATAATTTACAAATTTATTCCAGGCGAAACTTTGGAAGATGCAGGCTATGCGATGTGGTCTAAAGGCCAACCGGATAACGCGGTTACTCGTAATATACCACAACACTGCGGAGCGATGTTTAGAACTGCTCTACTGGACGATGTACAGTGCGAAGTGTTTATATATCCATTCATCTGTGAAAAGAAACCAGATAGTCTAGAGGAGAACTGATAGGAGAGTAGTGTTCAAATCTAAATACGTATGCATTTGTATTGTTTAAAGAAAAAACAAATTGTTACAACAATGACAAGTAAATTAGAGTGAGAAAAAGAAGGCTATAGGATTAATCTGGAAGTATATCCTTTCAGATAAATAATTAAGATTGTGTTAAAAAAATTCTTACTTCAATTATGGTAAAACTAATTATTTTGATATAAGAAATAAACCACAGAAATGATTTTGTTAAAATGTCTATAGTAGTTCTATAAGTCCACCCTATTGTATATCAACACAACCTTCAAGAAAAGAGCATATTCCTTTTTAAAAGGCCGGCAGCACTCTTGCAATGCCGCTGGTGTTGTGGGTGATCATGAGCAGCGGTAGTCACTTACCATCAGGTGAGCCGCATGCTCGTTTGCCCCCTGTGTTGTAAAAAAAAAATTAGGTAGTCCTTTCCTGTCCGTCAGTAAGATCTTTTAGCTAAATAAAAATCGGTAAAAAAACTTTTAAGTTAAACGGTTTTATTTTATGTGCACTGAAAACTACAAAATAAATAAATAGTTACTTACCTATCAACCTACGTAGATGATCTCGGTCATTAATATTTCTGATGGTAGTGGTTGTCATAACATGAACCATGTCAGCGGTCAAAAGGCAGTTCATGAGAGAACACTAACACCAGGGTTTGCTTGGTAGGTAAACTAAGCAGCCCACACTATAACAAGTAGGTATTTTGACCTTCTAGTTCAGAAATATTTTAGTACTAGGCAGAATAGCTTTTAGGCATATTAGACTAAAATAAAAACGTGGGGCCCCTCTGAAATCATACCTACAGCAGAGCATATCTTATACTTTGGTAGATCATGAGCTCGGTGTTCGCTGGTGAAGCCGTAACGGCTGGTTATTGATGGTCAAAACCTCCAGTTACGATTATAGTAAGTCGATTCAGCGGTAGCAGCAGCGATAAACATAAAAAGTAATAGGTTATAACTGAATGTAGAACCTTATTTTTTTTTTAATGTAATCAACAATGTAAATATTTTTTAATTGAAAATTAAAGAGTTCTTCTCTTCGATCGAATTCGATACAAATGTGTTTAATTAAATACTACGCAAGTACTTCCTTCTTCTTCGAAAACCAACTTACTTTTAAAGTCGGTTTTGACAAAAAAAAGAGAGATTAACAATTTATACCATATATATATATATATATATATATATATAGATATATATATATGTGTGTGTGTGTGTGTGTTTCAACCATAAAGCAGTTGTGTTTGCATGGCTGTGTTGCGGTTGTGAATTTACAGGGTACAGAGGAATATAGCCTGAGTCCTCAGGAATGGCAACACATGTGGCAACGCATGTATATATATATATATATATATATATATATATATATATATATATATATATATATATATATATATATATATCATATACCCACTTTGTGCAAGGCGAAAACTGCAATCTTATTTTCTTTATTTCTTTAGAATATGAGTATAAATAAGAATATGAAATAAACGTGTTCCAAATACAAAATGATTAAAAAGTTGAAAAAAAAAAAAGTTTATATATATAAACTTTTATATATATATATATAAAATTCTCGTGTCACGGTGTTTGTTACCAAGCTCCTCCGAAACGGCTTTACCGATTTTCATGAAATTTTGTGTGCATATTCGATAGGTCTGAGAATCGGCCAACATCAATTTTTTATACCCCTTAATGATAAGGGTGACCCTTATATTTTTTTAACCCCCCCTAAATTTTTTTTTTAATTTTTGACAATTTTTTTTATTTTTATTTAAATATGATTTAGCATTGAAAAATACATACAACTTTAAATTTTCACCCTTTTACGTTCAACCCCTGTTTTTTAAGCGCGATTTTATATTCCGCAATAGGGTTTCAAGATGGCAATCGAATATCATTTTCATGTATAGTTTATAATTACAATTTGCTTTAATTGTATCTTTTTTCTTAATTTTAATTAATCATCATTCCTCACCGGTCGATAGTTAATCGATATTTTTCTACCTGTAGTTGTTTGGAGGAAATAAATAACAACTAACTTGATTATATTATTGATTTTCATATAATGAGAGAATGACAGCAGAAATGAATGTGTGAAGTAAACGTCGCTGTCATGTCTGTATGTCCAGTGCGAAAGATAGAAAGTGGTGAAATATCTATTTACAATTAAATTAACCCACTTGATGGAGAAGAAAGTAATGATGTTGAAAAGTGGCTATGAGATGAATATTTACAATATTTATTTACAGACGCCACATACCAATCGATCAGTTACATTACGGAGTAGGGATAAGGACGAAGCCGGCCTCCTTCCCTATTTTCTAGAAATAATGTATTTGGCAAAACAACGTTTGCGGGGTCAGCTATATATGTATGTATGTATATATGCATATTTGCATGATACATGCTCATTACTAAATAATAAACCAGGAAAGTGCAGCACAAAAGTTACTAATTACAAACAGGAAATATAGCCATTTTTAAAGTTGAAATATACGATAAATTTATAAATAAATACACGGAGTTTCAGTAAGTTTGCGTTCTTACTACTTAGAGTATTCACTTCGTATTGAACTTATTCAAATATGGTGCAGCACACAGTGGGTATCACGACCACTGTCTTAGCTCTGCTGTGGGGTGTAATTGTCGCGGGTAAGTTCATAGTATCATCTCTTAATCTAATCCTTTTATTATTTATTTATTTAATACTTTAAGGTAATAAAATGTACAAAGGCGAGCTTAATTCTAAGAGAGTTCTCTTCCAGCGAACTCAAAGTGGAATGAAGCATCAATATCAGCGTTATTTCAGACATTATTGAAAGCTTAAATTTCTCCAACAGAAGGCAGATGGGAAAAAGAATACCGGTTCGATTATACATATAATGAGACGGTAATCGGATGGTTGAAACTGCACTACATACCTGCCACCTGGGACGAGGCGCGTCTGCGATGTCATGCTGAAGGTACGCAATGGTTTTTCTTTTTATACCACTGAGGTGGCAAACAAGCAAACGGCCCACCTGATAGTAAATGGTTTCCGTAGCCTATGAACGCCTGCAATACCAGAGGTTTTACGTGCGCGTTGCCGACCCTAAAAAAACCTCTTTACCCCCATTTTGAAGAACCCTATGCTGTAGTCTCATTGGAAAACCTCCATAACCTGAGTGTTCGTGGGAGAAAACATCTCTGAAACCGCGCCGTACACGACCATTTAGACTGTAATGAAGAATGAATGAATGTGAGAAGCAACTAAAGGAACTTAATGGTCGAGAGATGGGCAGCAGCGTCCCTCTTAAAAGGTCACCAAAAGCCAAACTGCGGTTGCCAATTCGCCTGCCAAGCGTGACAACTGGTAAAATCACAACAAACTGCTGGGTTGCTATATATATATATTCCCAAAGAGGGTTGACGTCAGGCAGGCGGCCGGTCGTAAAACTAAAAACCATGTCTTTTTGTAGTATGGATAAAATCATATTACGCCGTATCACGCCGACCACAAATGATTGGGATAAGGGTAGGAAGATGATGATGATATATATATAAATCAAAAATATATACTTATACATTTATAATATAAGTGAGATTATAAAGAGAGAAAAAAATAATACGTTTATAATATATTATTTTTATCATATAATTAAAATACTCACGTTTACGTATATATATATATATATATATATATATATATATATATATATATATATATATATATATATATATATACGACAACATAACCTTCAAGAAAAGAGAATATTCCTTTTTAAAAGGCCGGCAGCACACCTGCAATGCCGTTGGTGTTGTAGGTGATCATGGGCGGCGGTAGTCACTTACCATCAGCTGAGTCGCATGCTCGTGTGTTGTAAAAAAAAAATAAAAGATCTGTACTAACATTTAAAACAGGTGCTGTCTTAGCTTCACCGCTCGATAAACCCCTTCTGAATGCTATGAATGATATGGTCGCAAAAAGCACAAGCAATACGAACTGTGGAATATTCAGCGGTATTCATTCGACGATCTACAAAGGAGTTTATTCGTCAGTGGAAGGTTCGTGAGTTATTTAGTTAACATGTAAACTACACATCAGTTCTCCGTGTGATCATGTTTATATACAACTTAAAATAGCAAACAAGCTGACGGCCCACCTGATGGAAAGTGGTAACCGTCGCCTATAGACATGAGCAGTACCATGGACATAACAGAGTATACTGTTTCGCCCATGATACCCCCCATGCGTTGCCATTCCTGAGGACTCAGGTGTTATTCCTCTGTACCCAGTAAATTCACGCCATATCCCACCTTTCAAACTGAAACACAGCCATGCAAACACAACTGCTTCACGGTAGAAACACAAATGAGACAGAGGTACCCAAGCAACTTTTGTACAAAGTCTCCCTTTGGTAAAATCACAAAACTTCTATACATTCCCAGTCCCCTCTTTACGCGATTAGGGTTTTATTCTCCTATTTTCTCCCCTATAATGTTGTCGAAGCAAGAGAAAGCGTACCCCGAATTAGTTTCTCCAAGCATTTCTGCACTTAGCTTCGTAACGTAACTAATGTTTTATGCTTAAGGATCTAGTAAATCAAGCCAACTCAGATGGTTTCAGACGGGAAAAAGAAGAGTGAAAGAAATGTCGAAAATCAACATACCTACGTCCAATGCTGTAGAGTTGGGCTTAACAGGATATTCATCAATTCGCTCCACGCTTTTACTCCTAGAAACTGGTGTCCGTTAGAAGTGATCGTGTTTAATTCTTGTTGAATTTATCATGGTGCTCATCTATCACTGATCTCTGGTAATCTGCCCGCATATAGCGAAATCAGAGGCAGGGTTACTATTCCAATATCATCAATTTAATAAACCATTTTATCCCCTTATTTAAAGAACATCATGCTGTAGCAATTAGGAAGACCCTTACCAAAAAGTTCATTGTAATGCAAAAAGTTCTTGAAGCTCAGATCAATAAGGTTTGAATTTCAAGTCACGTCTGGATCATTCGCAATGCTTTAGAGCCTCGATGTCGTGACGTTGGCAAGTAGCGGTAGGTCATTTTTCTTAATTACTTTTCCTATTATTTTAACTGACTGTTTTTTTTTTATTTTTACTATAAGGTATACCACTTTCCAAGATCCCGGTGCGCTGGGCACCTGGTGAACCAGTATCCGAATACGACGAAGGTTGTTTATTGCTAGTGTGGAATGGAACTATGGCCGTCGGTAACTGTACCGATTCGTATCCCTATATATGCTATAAAAAAAAAACTCATTATGTTAAACTTACTGCATGTGGTACTGACGACAGTAAGTGTTTATTTTCTATTCCGATAGATTTTATTGAAAATGCAAACAAATCATTAACTGGTCATTTAATTAGAATGATTATGTTTAATTTCCCCTACCATTAGTACGTGTGTGACTTCCAACACTCGAAGATTAACAAATTGCTACCAGAAGTTCCACTACCTTCCATATTAGCCATCAATCCCCGACTGCTATTTTATTCACGCACGTTTTGCAACACGTGTTTCAGCTCTAAACGAGACATCCTCAGGCAAATTAGAAGATCGCTGCTCCGATTTATTTTGATATTTATCGTTGTTCATCAATCTGTACATAGAAGCTAGCCAATTACAAGTATTTCTATTTTAGGAGCATGCGCTCCTAAAATAGAAATACTTTCTTTCTTATACTGAATCAGAATATCTAGTAACTAATACGTACTACTTATATATAATAATAATAAATACACGTAAAGAAAATATATCGACCTGGCTCACGAGGTGACCGAAATGTGGGGAGTGACGTCCACCGAAATCATTCCAATCGTTTTGTCGGGGAACGGCCTTATCCCAACTAATCTGGAACAACATCTCAGGCGGTTGGGATTCCGAGGCGGCTCACTCCCGGGAAAGATGCAGAAAGCAGTGCTCTTAGATTCTGCCCGCATTGTACGCCGGTTTCTCTCCCTAGGGCCCCGAATCCCGGCCGACTATGCTTCTGCCGGGGGTTTGTTGCCATCTCCTCTCCTTAAGAGGGGAGATGAGAATTTGAGTAATACACATAATACGTGATGATACTTTCGTCGTGATCTCCATTAGATAGTAACTATGGAAAATGAAGTCGTATATAAAGAAATAAATGCTTTTTCTATCCGAGAGCTTACTCTGACCAACTATTGTTGCTTCCCAGTCTAATATTGTAAATATATATTATTTTCTGAACAGAGTATCAACTGAATACTAAAACAGGTAGTTGCTACAAATTTCACAATGTATGCCAGACGTGGCGCCGAGCATACATGACGTGTGCTGCAGAAGGTGGACATCTGGCCATCATCAACAGCCCAACTGAGGCTGAACTACTCAAAGAACTATATGCTAAACATCCAGCAAGTAATATATTCTGTAAATACAAAGATACAACGATGGTTGGTTTTTTGGACTGGAGTAAAGATGACTTCTGGTTTACTATACATGGTAATTGTTTTTTTAACGTAGTACTTTCTTGCAATAGGGTAAAAACTGATCTCTTATTTAATAGTATGTAACAGTCGTCGCCTAACACATGAATTTCCCTATATATTACTAACTTTTTTTTATACAACTTAGAATAGCAAACAAGCTGACGGCCCACCTGATGGAAAGTGGTAACCGTCGCCTATAGACATAAGCAGTAGCATGGACATAACAGAGTATACTGTTTCGCCCATGATACCCCCTATGCGTTGCCATTCCTGAGAACTCAGATGTCATTCCTCCGTACCCTGTAAATTATTTAAATTTCTTTCCACCAACAACCTTTTATGCCCCTTTCAATCGGGCTTCCGACCCTCTCATAGCACTACTGGAGCGCTTCTTAATATTACAGAGGACATACGTCGGGCTATGGATAACACGAAATTGACTGCAATTGTTTTGTTGGATTTCAGTAATGCTTTCAATTCGGTTGATTTTGATGTTCTCCTTAGCACCCTTCGTGCAGTCAACGTTTCCACTCCAGTTATCGAATGGTTCTCTTCTTTTCTTTTCGGCCGCCAGCAGTGTGTTAGAACCAATGATGGTTTATCGAACTGGGCTTCATTAACTGCTGGCGTGCCTCAAGGCGGTGTACTTTCCCCTTTATTATTTTCTATCTTTATTAATAATATTTCTCGAGTCATTACTTCTCCCTTCCATCTGTATGCGGATGATCTGCAGTTGTATCGTCACTTTATGCTGTCTGAGGTTACACAGGCAACTTCAGCTCTAAACGATGATCTACTGGCTATTCACTCCTGGGCTAAATCATTTGGTCTTATTGTTAATCCAGCCAAATCTCAAGCTATGATTGTCGGTAGTGGCAGGCTGAGGTGTAAGTTGGAATGGTCTCAGATTCCTCCATTGGTATACGAGGGTACTGAGATATCTTATACTGATAAAGTGAAAAACTTAGGACTTATTATGGATAGTACATTGTCGTGGACCTCTCATATTAATGACATTAGTAGACGGATGTACTTTTCATATCACTCTCTCAAACGTCTCCAATACTTTCTCCCTTTCAATACCAAAATTATGCTTGCACAATCTATTCTTCTTCCCATTCTGGATTATGCCGATGTCTGTTTCTTAGATGTGACCGAGGAGCTGCTAAATAAGCTTGAGCGGTTGCAAAATTTAGCGATAAGGTTTATTTTCAGCTTACGAAAATATGATCATGTCTCGGAATACCGCACTCGTTTAAAGTGGCTCCCAATTAGACATCGTCATGAGACACATGTCCTAGCGGTCCTATATAATATCCTTAATGATCCCAATTCTCCTTCCTACCTTCGTTCCCGGTTCCAATTATTACCTCCTCCTTCCAGACCTAGACGTCTTTGTCTGAACCAGTCCAGGGTACTGAAGCTTCCCAACTGTAAAACCCATTTTATGGGTAACTCATTTGCATATCGTGCTGTACAGCTGTGGAATAAACTTCCCGTGAACATTCAGAATAGCCCGTCTAGCAGTTCCTTCAAAAAAAGATTAAAATCATTTTATCTTTCCAATTTAATTTAAATATAAAAATGATTAGAAGACTGTCATCATTGTGTTCTCTTGTATCTGATATTTATATGTTGTATTTAACGTGTGTATGTATGTGTGTATATGTATGTGTATATGTATATATATGTGTATGTGTATGTATGTATATATGTGAATGTATGTGTGTATATATATAATTATTTATAATTTATGTAAATATTTATTTAAATTTCTGTCTTGCACTACTACTGCCCACTCACTACTTCCTATGCCACTGCGTTAGGTTGACTGGAAGAAATCTCTTTTAGAGATAAGTCCGCCTTTGCTAACATTGTTATTAACTTATTGTTGTTACTGTATGTTTTTGTGCAATAAAGAATATATATATAAATTCACGCCATATCCCACCCTTCATACTGAAACACAGCCATGCAAATACAACTGCTTCACGGTAGAAACACGAATGGGACAGAGGTGCCCAAGCACACGACTTTTGTACAAAGTCTCCCTCTAGTAAAATTTGATCCATCGAATTACAAATAATACTCATTCTTAAGATCAATATAACATGTGGCTGATGGTAAGTGACTATCAAAGCTCACAGACACATTACCAGAGGAGATGCAGGTGCATTGCAGGCTTTTTAAAAAGATATACATTCTTTACTTGAAGGTCGCCAAGTTGTATTTGATTAAGAATACCGCTGCAGGTAGTTTCTTTTATCATATTTTTACAAAAGTTTCGTTTATGATATTTAGAAAGACACAAACTAGTTGCCCACTTTATAGTAAGAGGCATTTTTCATCTATAGACGTTAAAATACCAGAAGGAGACTGTACAAAAGTTATTTGCTTGGGCACCTCTGTCCCTTTCGTGTTTCTACCGTGAAGTAGTTGTGTTTGCATGGCTATGTTTCGGTTTGAAGGGTGGAATATGGCAGTGAATATACAGAGTGCAGAGGAATAACACCTGAGTCTTCAGGAATGGCAACGCATGAAGGATACCATGAGCGAAACAGTACACTCTGTTATGTCCATGGTACTGCTCATGTCTATAGGCGACGGTTACCACTTTCAATCAGGTGGACCGTCAGCTTGTTTGCCATTCTAAGTTGCATAAAAAAAAGTAAAATAGAATCACCACGGATATCATAGAACACTGTGTGATACCCATAGTATCTCTTGTGAGGCTGATGAGGCGACTAATGGAAGAAGATGAAATGATCAAGAGATGGGCAGCAGTGCCCCTCTTAAAACAGCAACAAAGCCTATTTGTGGTTGTCAACCCGCCTGCCAAGTGTGACAACTACCAGCAAAACCTTCCTTTTAAGGGAGACCTATGTTCACCAGTATACGGTAAACGGCTAATATAATGATCATGAGGAGTTAAGGAATTGTTAGTAATGAGGTCTAACAGCCCCATTGCAAGCAATATACCCTATCAGGTCGAACCCCCACGCGGTTCCCCCTGGAAACCATCGTGGTTAATTCTTGTCGAATTCGTCACAGACTAACTGACCTGCTTTTATCCTCACCCATCACCTATTACTGGCACCACAATAGCGCAGGCACGTCAACCACTCCATTATCATCCATAAACAAAGTATGATGATCACAGTTTACCTGTATGATCACCATTGATTCCCGCCTCTAAAAACAAGAACCATAAATAGCCGTGTGGTCCCGGCATAGAATAGGCCACCCCTTCCTTTCCCGTGGGTGTCATAAAAGGCGACTAAAAGAGGGCAAGAGATGGGTAGCAGTGTCCTTCTTAAAACATCTCTAAAGCCTAACTGCGGTCGCCAATCCACCTGCCAAGTGTGGCAACTAATAGCAAAACCCCCCAAGAAGAAGGCTTTAGTTATGATAATGATGATAAACTATAAAACATGCAGCGTTAAAGTCTAAAACTTATTAAACCCATACCTCGTTTTTAGGTGAGACGCTAGAAGAAGCCGGCTATTCAAAATGGAACAATGGTACACCTGATAATAATAAATTAGGCACCTTGGGACAACATTGCGGTGGCATGACGAGGAATGGTTTGTTGAACGACGTTTGGTGCGACACTGTGCCATTCTCATTTATTTGTGAGAGAAACCCACCTATCCCTCTTTATTAATCTTTGCTAACTACAGTTAAAACACATTAATATGTTCACACTTCTTTAGAAAGAAACGAGATCAATTTGGAAAATAAAAAAGAAATGTCTATAATTATTAAAAAAAAAGAGGCAATTGGTATTTCAAAATATTTTTTTTTGCATTGTTTTCTTTTTGTTTGGTAAGTAACTGTGTAATTTTATTAATTGACGATATTATTAAAAATAGATATATATATATATAAAAATATATATATATTTTACTCTAAAATTGTTTTTTTCCTTTACATTATAAATCAATACCGTGTGGTCCCGGCATAGAATGGGTCATTCCTTTCTTACTCGTGAGGGAACTTAATGATCGAGACATGAGCACCAGCGTTCCTCTTAAAACATCAAAAGCCTAACTGCGGTTGCCAACCCGCTTGCCAAACGTGGCAACTACTGGCAAAACCTTCCTTTATGGGAGAGGCTTATGTTCAACAGTGGACAGTGAACGGCTGATATGATTGATGATGATTGTATGATGATGTATGGATGATTGATTGATTGATGAGTATTTTTAACCAAAGTTAAAGTAAACAGGAAAACCGCATTGTATTTATAAATTAAAAACAATAAACGATAGAACGTTGTTTATTATAACAGGATGTCTGTCGAGTTAGTTATTTGATAGTTAACTAAAAATAGAGATTTGTCGAATAACAATTATTGTGAGTCATTTCTTTTAATGGACGATAATGGAATGGTAACCCCACCCGCGCTATCGGTATACACCGACGGGACACCAGTGAAGGATGATAGGTGAGGAGATGAAGTAGGTCAGTTAGCCCATCGTGACGAATTATACTTTAAATATAAAAGTAAATAGAATTTGTTTTACTTTTAGCTTCCAACAATACTTTTGGAGACTATACGATAAGTATTGGTATTGCAAGTATTGGTATTGGTATTGCAGGTGTTCATAGGCTACGGTAGCCGCTTACCATCAGGTGGGCCGTATGCTTGTTTGCGTGAACTCAATTTAATCTACATAACGACAAAACTTTGTTATTGTTCTTTATTATATATTTAGAGTCCATTGTACCCTTTATCATGTTTAACAGGAAAACAGGAAAAAAATATATAAATAATGGATTCCAATACTTTATCTAAATAATCATTGTTATGCAACTTATAATGGCAAACAAGCTGATGGCCCATCTGATGAAAAGTGGTAACCGTCGCCTATAAACATGAGCAGTACCATGGACATAACAGAGTACACTGTTTCGCCCACGATACCTCCCATACGTTGTCATTCCTGAGCACTCAGTTGTTATTCCTCTGTACTCTGTAAATTCACTGCCATATCTCACCTTCAAACCGAAACACAGACATGCTTCACGGTAGAAACACGAATGGGACAGATGTACCCAAGCAATCGACTTCTTCAACAATGGTTAATATAATATCCACAACAGCCATATTGGTGCTTCATTCTCTATTAGTACACAGGTATGTATATAAATAAATATATACGATAAAGTAAGAGCCACGTGGTCCCGGCATAGAATGCACCACCCCATCCATTCCCGTAAGTGTCGCTAGGTAAGGAAGCGTAATGGGAGAGGGATGAATAGCAGCGTCCCTTTTAAAACCTACATACTTAATTAATTTGCTGCATGGGAAACTAAAATGGATGTGATAGGTGTTTTTTGTGACCTTTCTAAGGCTTTTGATTGCGTTGATCATAATACATTGCTAAAAAAACTTGCTTTTTATGGCGTCAAAGACAATGCTTTAAATTTAATAAAATCTTATCTATCTGATAGAATACAGAAAGTGAAGATTAGCAACGCTACGTCTGACGGGTCACTTGTGCAAATGGGTGTACCTCAAGGATCTATTCTCGGTCCATTTTTATTCCTAGTTTACATTAATGATCTCCCATATGCCATGCAGGATAGATGCGGCATAGTATTGTTTGCAGACGATACTTCATTGATTTTTAAAGTTAATAGAATGACTAATAATTATGACGATGTAAATAGTGCTTTGCGGCGTCTCCTGCACTGGTTTACAACTAACAATCTTATGTTAAACGCTAAAAAAACAAAATGTGTTAATTTCTCTCTATCTAAAATTTTTAATACTAATTGCAATATTAAATTAAATGACGAATCTCTCGAATTTATAGAATCTACTGTCTTTCTAGGAATCACACTAGATAATAAAACACAATGGGGTGCACAAATTCAAAGCCTTGCAGCGAAACTAAGTTCAGCAGCTTTTGCCGTGCGTAAAGTTAGACAGTACACTGATACTGATACTGCTAGATTAGTCTATTTTAGTTATTTTCATAGTTTACTCTCTTATGGAATATTACTATGGGGAAAAGCGGCAGATATTAAGAATATATTCATATTACAAAAACGTGCCGTTCGAGCGATCTACTGTATGAAGAGTCGTGACTCATTAAGAGAGAAATTCAAAGAGGCAAATATTCTCACCGTTGCTTCTCAATTTATATATTCAAATATTCTATATGTTCATAAAAATCTTGACTTATTTCCAAAAAACAGCAATATTCATAATATTAATACTAGATTTAAAGACAAACTTGCTGTCCCCAAGTATCGTTTAGAAAAAGTTAATAGGTCTTTTATGGGAATAGGTATAAAAATTTACAATAAGATACCAAAGGATATGTTGGAATTACCCTTAAATAAATTCAAAACATCTGTTAAATCATATTTACTGAGCAAAGCCTATTACTCACTAAACGATTACTTGAATGACGAGTGTGCATGGCAATAGTTGTTCATGCACTGAATTTTCATTTAATGTTAGACATAGACACCTATATAAATATACATTGTAAATAAACTGGCTTTAAAAAAAAAAAGTAATTCAATTGAGTTTCTTGCCAGTTCTTCTCAATTGGATCTATATACCGAACTGGACGGTAGGGAAAATATAAAATTATAATGTAAAAATTTGACGTTCATAAGCGGCTAAAATGTCCTACATGAATAAATGATTTTTGAATTTTGAATTTTTTTGAATTTTGAATAAACAATTTACAATATATCGCCGTGTAGGTCTCGGTATATGTTGGGCCATCCCTTCCTTTTCCGTGGGTGTCGCAAGAGTCTACTAAGGGAGGGCGACGGATAGGCAGCAGTGTACAACTTAAAATATCTGTAAAAGCCCAACTATGGTTGCCAACCCGCCTGACAACGTGGCAACTACTGGCAAAACTCTCCTTAAAAAGAAGGCCTATGTCTAAAAGTGGATAACTAACATCTGATATAATAAAGTGAATATTCAATTTATTATATACTTACTAAAGTGAATAAGGTGAAAAAGTAATTTCCAGTGGTACCCTGCACTTTGGTTCTATTTTGACTAAGAGAGGGACTGGCTGGTTACCAGCGCTGTGCAGCTGTTCACATTGCGCTGGGACAATCACAGCATCAGCTGAGCCGGTTCTTGTATATGTTATTTATATTTTTGCCATATAATTACAATAAATGGTTCCGTCCCGTCCCGTCCCGTCCCGTCCGTTCCGTTCCGTTCCGTTCTGTTCTGTTCTGTTTAAAGCCTGTAGATTATACAATATAATAATATATGCAATACCATGGAAGCATGGCATTACTTGCAAATAATTAACCAGATTGACATAAGTATTATATACCTAAATAACTAGACTGGGGGTGAAGGGATTGTTAGCAATGGAGTTTGACAGCCCCATTGCTAGCAACATTATAGTTATAATAGTTACTATTTCATTATCACCTATAAAAAAAATAACTCTACTGACTGCAATTTATTTTTATACGATATTTTAAATTGTTGTTTATATATATAATGTATGACAAATCTATTTAAAAACGAATAAGTATATGTAAAATTATTAAATGTAATCTACCATCTAAATAGATATTAATTGTATGTATTTTGTTTTTGATGGGTGAAAATGGTGTGGTAACCCCGTCTGCGCTAACGGGATACGCTGGCGGAGCACCAGTTAAAGGTGATAGATGAAAATGAAAACAGGCCAGTTAGCCCATCATGATGAATTCATCAGGAATTAACCATGATAGTTTCCAGGGAGAACCGCGAAGAGATCGACCTGGTTGAATGCATATATATATTAGCTACCTATCAATATAATTTTGCTACGCCCAAACAGGATTTTATGTACTTACATAAGATCATTGTAACAACTCTATATTATGTACATGAATGCATTATAATACATACATACATACATATCTGTCACGCCGCAATAATAGCAAACGCCACAGAGATTTACGCCATCTATAGGTAGCTTACGCAATTAGTAATCATCGGTAAATTAACTTATTAGCTTGAGCTGGCGAGCGGCAAAGAAAGTAGCGGCATCTAGCGCACATATGAAAACTAAAAATTAGGCCGAAGAATAAACCGACATAGAGCTTTTCACTTGTTTGTTCAAGATGATGTATCTGTACTAGTATAGTATTATATTATCTGTGACACTGATAAAAAAACGAGTCAGCTATTTTGACAATTAGCTGACAAAAAGTCGACCCGTTTTTGGGGCTCGAGACTCCATCTACATAATCTAAGAGTATGCTATTACTTATGCACTAATGGGAGATTTTACTAAAGTCGATGAGACGTTGGTCTGGATTCGATTTGCAGGTAGGAAATTGCCAAGTCATTTTTATTTTTATACAACTTAGAATGGCAAACAAGCTCCACCACGTCCACCTGATGGAAAATGGTAACCGTCGCCTATAGACATGAGCAGTACCATGTACATAACAGAGTATACTGTTTCACCCATGATACCCCCCATGCGTTGCCATTCCTGAGGACTCAGTCCATCAGTTTAATTTTTAAATTAAAATAACTGGTTTTGCTATAATTTATGTCGGTTTATTATGTGGCGGTTTTTATCAATGGTTTTTTTTTTTAATGCAAAATACGCCTACAAAATATGCTTTCATAATTTAACTCTTAATTATAATTTAACAGGCACCGTCTTAGCTTCGCCGTATAATGAACATTTTCTGGAAGCAATCAAGAAGATAGTGGCAACTAATAATACTAAGAATTGTGGGGTATTCAGTGGAGTTGATGCTACTTACATTATACAA